AACAACTGAACTCTTCTACGCACGTCGGTATTGCGGATTTTATGTTCACTCTACTACTGAAGAGTAAAGACCGTAAAAGACGGTATCACCAATTTGAAATAATAAGTATACTGAATTTAGTATCAATTAAATATTTTAATACCTGCTACGGATTCAGCCTGCAATCAACTCTCACTAGCTATTATTGTGAACCTTGACATCAATCACTGTTTCTTGCTGTCCGAGACGTGAGAATCACTGCGACCGAACACATGATTCCCTGCAGAGCATCGTCCTCCAGCATTCTTGTGCTAATCGTCGGCATTTCATCAACAGACCGTTTTAGAATGACAACCTTGTAGAGCGTTTAAGAGTTCCTCCCTGTAGAGTTAAATAACAATCATCCAATAATCAAAATTAGGTCTGGATTAGTAAGTAGTTTACACACTGCCATATTGCATTATTTTCATCCAATTTTTCTGTTTTCGCTCAATAAAATAACTTAATCTTGTGCTAATGAGCAGCAACAGCTTTCTTAAGGATTACTCGTACCAGCGACAGTGAGTACTCGTAGACTCGTAGGTAGTTGTGGTCACTCATTATCTTCAAAATATACTGCCGCTGATGCTGTTCAAACTCGAGTTAATACCGGGCAAATTTTTTCCAACTGCTGGCTATTCTAGAGTTTGAATTTGCAATGTCTAGAGTTTGAAGAGGTGCTCTCATGCAATACTGTTTAGGCAACGGCAATTGTGCGTGGTAATTCAATGTAATAAGATGAATCGTGATCAGAATTGTTTGTCAACTAAATTTAGAAGTCCTAGTAGTCGCAGGACATGAACAAAAGACGACCGACGATAGAGGACTCGAAATCGATTAATTAAATTAGCTACGCCAGTGCAAAAAACTCTCCTCTACCGATCAACTTTGTTCAATATTTCATGCTGGAGTTTAGCTGGAAATGATAAACCTTTTCTAACGTTCAAGTCTAGAGAATAAGCTGTAAAATGTTCTATCCTAAATGTATCTCGGCTGTCAAAACATTAGATATCGGCTACATTCCGAGGCAACGTTAAGTGGAACGTACGAAGGTCGAACCCATATAAAATTAAGCCTGCGCCAATTTTTGGCCACATTACCACGTGTTGAGAACTTGAGATCCTTCGCTGACGTTCAGTCACTGACCAGCAGTCGGGGGTGGTGGTCTAAGCGTCCTGCTCGGGGTGAATCCTGACCAACCGACTGCTTGGTGCCGGCGAGTTGAGAATTTCTAATCTCAAGTGCAGTCGGTCACTTGGATCGTGCATGCAGTTGGCAATCATAAATATTAATTGACAAATTCCATAATGGACTGAATAATTAGAATTTGATAATTTTTTCAAGTTATTACGATTTCATTCATAGATCGAAAACCGAATGTGATGAGGAAACTGACAGCAAATAATATGGAAAATAGGCCGCTTGGTGAAAACAACCTGCCAGTAGAAAATGTTGAAAGATAAGATTGCTACAAACGCGGAATCGTTCTCACTTCATAACTTAGTGTTTACTTTCATAAAAAGAGACCAAGAGTGCAGCTTGCAAAATGGAAGAAAATAGGAACTGAGACCACTGGGCATTCTCAATGCACTTTTCTTTATATAGGCGAGAAAAAAAGGCATATCTAAAAAGTACGAACTTGATATGCGTGACAGCTGTCACCGTGTCACGATATACTTTGGCGTGCATCCCTAAAAACAGCTGGATTAATCGACCATTCCAGCCTGCTGGTGAAATGCACTAAGTTTTCAAACAATTCTGTTTGTATTCCACGTTCGTGAACACTCGTATTATATAAAATATAAACTTATGTAACAATGTGACGTTATGTTAAATGGTTTAAAGCGAGAAAATGCGGATTACCAACCGGACTCGCTTTCGAACAATGACTCGTATTTGAGGACACGATGCTGTTCAGCAATCTGTCTCGTGTTGACTACGGTTCTTTAATGAGTGTTTCTCGCTACACAGGTAATCTATCTATCGGCTCAGATGAGAGCGACTCATATAAAGGATAATAGACTCAAGTCAGCCAACTGGTACCAACTGGTACTGGTAGTAATCTGTATTCGATTGCTCTAAATTAAAGGATCTTTGTTTATAATTAAAGAACATAAGTGTGGTTTGCAGTAATCCTGAAGAAACGCATGTCATCGGAAGGAAATTGAACTACGCAGCGTGTTGATGATTTAGGTTTGTTTAATTCAAATGAAAACTCTTAATAATTATGCACTCGAAGGCACTTCCGATTTAGAAACCATTGACACGGAGCGAATTCCAAACTTGTCTTTTAAGTCTGGCAGATAATGTGTTAAAAATGAGACCATGAGACGGTGGAACTCGTGGCACGCGAGAAAAACTCGAGCTATGAATTAGAATCACTGAATGAGAAATCGATTCTATCAAGAGAAGAAACCTCCATCCCTTGGTTGAGGAACCAAAAAAGTTGCGGAAGTCTCAAGTTTTGTGATCGATTGATGGCCTGGCCAGATTTGCTTAGCATATTTCAGCCTGACACTCACGCATAGGCTTAATTAGGTAGGAAAAGGAACAGGTTTGACTGACACGAATGTTAATCTTTTGACGTCTTGCGTAATACGATATTTTTAGTTCACAATTTAAGAGAAAGATTCGTTAAAATTACATTTTTCAGATTTTTAAATGTTCACAATTAAGAGTCTATTGTCTATTGTCCGTATCTATCCGTTTTGTACACACCACATGTGAGTCATAGATATGTAATTATAATTACTGTGATTACATATGCCATGCACTAGTAAACTATTATTATTACATGTGTGATTTGACATGCACTAGTGAACAATTCAAATGTAAGTATTAGGAACGGAGGAATAATTGATAATTTGACCGAACATCAATAGTGAATCTGTAACACTTGTGCTGACCACCAGTTTTGTGTAGTATCCCCTTCATAAAGGGAATATAACTGAGATATCAACGTCAAGGAATTGGTCAAAAATTCAGTTAATTAGAATTAAAATGAACAAAACTTAGTCATTAAGTTAAGTTGCTACAAAATTTTTCAGCTAACAATATCAGAATATTTTCTGTTCCAGCACTTTTCTGTTATAATCTTGCAAGCGATGCAAATCAAGTTGGAATTACTATAGTCGACTAATAATTATTTTTTTTAACTTATGCTAACCAAGTTTTAACCCCAGAACCCGTTTGTTTTATTCACATGTGCTCTGCTTATAGAACAAAATAGTAGTCAACTTTCCAAGCATTGCAAGTTGTAGTAATACGAGGCAGAGAATGAATGGCACGGCAAACATTTTAAACCAACTACGGTAGAAGCTGGCCAATGATCCATAACAGCTACGGTAGCACCCTTCCACTACGTGCGCCACAAAACTCCTTTCTTTCATCGTGATTGAAACTCTCTTCGGTTACTGATAATTAAAATTGATAACTCTTATACCAATGACTGATAGACCAGGAAAATTTAACGATAAGGATGAAATTCCTAATAATTTTGGGAACTTATAATGATGCCGTGATGCCGTTATTTTATCACCGAATTATGATTGAGTGCGTATATATGATTGAATACATTGGATCTGAAATAGACAAAAGCAGAACACGAGAAGTGCATTAAACGCATTGCAAAACCTAAAGAAGGTTGCATTCCCGGAAAAAAATCTTTTTTTTTTTTACCGATCAATCAAACTCTCGGGACAGGTCGACTGTTATTGACGCGTCGATAGAGCAGACCTTCGGCACAGGTAGCATGTCAGTGGTGCGTGACAGCTCAAACCACTGAAACGAAAAGCGACATTTATTTCAGAACGCGTATGACATTTTGTTTGTTCAACTTCGTTTGTTCTACTTTGTTTGTTCTACTTAGTTTGTTCTACTTAGTTCGTTCTACTTCGTTTGTTCTACTTTGTTTGTTCTATTTTGTTTGTTCTACTTTATTTGTTCTATTTTGTTAGTTCGGTTATCAAGAAATGCATTCTGAACGATATACTGCATGTTGCTTAATTAGTGGCAGGAAATGTCCCCTATTCTCATTTCCGAATTTAGGAACGAATTTTTCCCAAAATACTTGCTGCCCATTGCCCAATAATAATGGTTTATATTTTAAAATCTGGGCTAATGATATTCATTCCAAAATTATCGCACACTTTTACACAAACAAGCTAAGGGCCCTTGTGTACAATAGTTCCAATAAATTCTTACAAATATAACACTAACTTTCATATTTTTAAATGGTATTGGACGCACAGGATAAAACATACACCAAACACTCTTGCAGCAAACTGAACCTGCCATGATGACTTACTTAGCATGGCAGAGTTTTTAATGACTTACTTAGCAGCCATTATTGGGCTGCGTGTTACTTGACTCTTTATAATATTTCCCAATGACCGCATCAACATCGCGGCCCTGACCTGCTTGATGCTCAGCAATCGATGGACTTGCTCCAACCAAGTCCACGGAAAAAATCTTTGGGTATAATGGCATGTGAACCTCATGCAGAATTGCAACCATTATTATGCGAGTTGAATGAACATTACTGTACACCTTCCGAGACATGGAAATTATAATGCGAGTGGTATAGTTAGCTAATTCTAAATTTATATTTTTAGTTCGGCGTGGCTAAAATGTATTCATTCATTTATGAAAGCAAATAGAAGTATTTGTCAATGTGTTCAATTACATCTATTCATATGTATTAATCATATGTCTGAGATTTGATAAGTTTATTTTTATTTGATTGGTTGATTGAACCGGATTTTGATTCATCGGCAATGCCGTGACTCGTCAACATGCCGAGTAACTCAAGCGCAAACAATTCTAAATTCTTATTTTGAATGTCAAGAAAGAAATGCCACATATTTTTTTAATATAATTACCTAAATTTTATTAAATTTTGAAGCTTGTGACTCTCTCTATTTGTCATAAAGCACGCTTTAACGACGCTATTCTGACTCTCCGGCAGATGAATATTTTGCAGGCGAACTTTTGTCATAAAATTATGTACCGGAACAGAGTAATTTTATGATTCATTTTGTGTGGCTCATAATCCACGAAGTTCAGCCGAAATCTAGGAAATTGTTGCCAGTTTTCGAACCTGTTTGCAGAGGTTAGACCAAACCAAGTCCCGTGGCAGCACATTGAAGACATAGCAGTAGCTCGTACATTTCCTGCGAAGGCACAGTAGCTAGAAAAAAAATTACCAGCAAAAGCGCAGTATCAACAAAAGCCTTTACCGGCAAAGGCGCAGCATCAACGAAAGCCTTTACTGGCAAAGACGCAGTATCAACGAAAGCCTTTACCGGCAAAGACGCAGTATCAACGAAAGTCTTTGCCGACAAAGACGTGTTAGGAGGCCGTGGGCGCCAAACCCCCCATGGGCGCCGGAGGAAGCAGCGAGCGCCGAGCGTCGGTGGGCGCTGTGGGCGCTGCCAACACGGCAGGAGCGCCGGTGTTCCAGCAGCGCCACGTCAAGGGCGTCAGAGGCTGCGGCGTCGACGACAGCAACGAGCAAGACTTCCTGGACATCTCCTACAGCGAGGGCGGTGGCATCATCTCCCCTCAGGTGACGTGTTGATTACTGCATCATCTCCCCTCAGGTGACGTGTTGATTGCTGCATCTTCTCCCCTCAGGTGACGTGTTGATTACTGCATCATCTCCCCTCAGGTGACGTGTTGATTACTGCATCATCTCCCCTCAGGTGACGTGTTGATTACTGCATCTTCTCCCCTCAGGTGACGTGTTGATTGCTGCATCATCTCCCCTCAGGTGACGTGTTGATTGCTACATCGATCCTCTACACTGCGTTGGTAACGGCGTGTGAAATGGTGGCACCTTATGGGGCCCAGTGGTTACAATTAGTACAAAATTTGGAGCAGAGAGGCGAGGGTTCGATCCTAGCTTTGTGCTCCAGTTTCTTGTCAGAATCGGCTAGAGGCCGGGCGGTTAAGCAAAGCAAAATTGCAGCAGTGAGTTGCTTGTTCGAGGTCGCAACAAGCTGTGGATATTCTGCGATGTGAAGATCGGCGACAGTCCTATACGGCCTTATAAACGCTGAACCCGCTAACCGCTATCATTTTCTGTCTATATTCTTTAACGACTAAATTCAAAAGCAATAACCCTATCGCATGCGCTGTTAATCGGCAGCAAAGCAGCTTCGTTTTTCTTCATCGGAAATTTAGAAATGTTGGTCGATGTTTCGGACCATACAAGTGGTCAATAAAATTGATCATTCCTGTTGTTTTTTTACTCTCAATTTGTCCCTTACATTTTATTTTCGATTAAATGATAGGTAGTGTGAAGAGCGCTGCAGATACCTCGATACCGAGGCAAAGAAAGTAATTTTCTCAGTAATGATTAGAAGGATCAAGTGCTTATAAATAAGTACTTGCATAACAGTGAACTCACAAATAATCCTAACGATTGTTTCAGTTCATCACATCGTACAGCAATCAGAGAAACGGCAATAGCTTCACAAGACACAACATGAAAGCTCCGCCAAGCAGTCACTGCTCGTCTCCCGCTCTCGACTCGAGATCCAACAATACGGCAACAAAAGTTACACATGGTAGATGTACTGAGAAGGACTTCAACAAAGAAAACACAAAACCCCTAAAACTTAATCAACCACTAAGCGCCGTATCCAGTAATCCAAGAAATTCTCATGGAATATCCAAGGTTCAACCTGCGAAAGCAACAAGTCAAGTTAATGGGACATCTATAACGCAAACAGGCGCAACAGAGGAGGCTGAAATTTCACCGAGCCAAGATGGGAGGCCGGTCATTAAGTCTGCTACTTCCTCCTTTGAATCTCGGACGGTGTCAGAAAGCGTCAGGAGTGTGCGCCGTCAAATCAGCGAAGTTCCTCTGCCGGTCAGTTTTTTCTCTAGCATTACGTCCACTAGATTGTTTACATACTACCAATTAACTATCAAATATATAGAATAGAATAGAAGTGTTGGCATTGAAGAAATAGGCCTGTTGCCGATTCTTGAATTTTTCGTGACTTGATTCACAAGGGATCCGGCCTTTGGAACCCGATCTTTCCATAACTGACGATTGATTGAGAAAGCTGCTGGGAATCTCGGACGAAGACAAGAACTATTACCCAATTAGAAAAAATAATTCAGCGATCATGTGCGTCATTAATTCGGTATGCGAGATGAATCAATTAGCACAGTTAAATCAGAGAGAATTGTTTAATATTTTATCTAGGAAGATTTTTTAAGGCATAACTCTTTCGGGCTTCCATTAGGCAGCATGAACTTTACTATATTAACTCGAATCGGTCTCGATTGATGCAGTGCAAGCCAGTGGTATTAATCCAATGAGAACTTCTATATTTATTTGAGCTTGTGTAGTGCACTAACAACAAGTTTTCTCATCTGGACGTGACAAATCCTCACGAAGTCTTTCTTATGTCTCCAGGCTGACGATAACAAGGATCCGAGGCCTTACCGCTCGCGGAGCCCAACGCGGTCACCTAACTCCGGAGACCTCCAGATAGAGGAAGTCGCTTGAATTTATAATAGAAAAGAATAGAAGCGTCGGCACTGAAGAAATAGGCCCATGGCCTGTTGCCGATTCTTGAACTTTCCGTGACGTGATTCACAAGGGATCCGGCCTTTGGAACCCGATCTTTCCATAACTGGCGATTGATTGAGATAGCTGCTGGACTTATTGCCTGGTCCGTAATTTGCTAGGCATTTTAAGACTGAACATGTGCTGATTTTAAGTGGCAGTATGGCTTCTATAGAATCGAGGCACAACAATACCTTCAACACAAATGTAACTACAGCTGATTGTATTTTTTTCAAACTAAGGAAAAAGGAGAAGTCCTTGTTATGCACCGGTTATTCAGTAATTCTATCGAAAAATACCTTGATGGATGCAGGATTGATGCGAGTAATTTGGCTGCCATTCTATAGACGCCTTCCGAGTCATCGCTGTCGTGGGAAAACGTCCAGCAGTTGGTTTTCCATCTCATAGAGTTACATCCTTCATAAATTTCATTCAGAGAGATTTTGAAAAAAATCATTACCGATGACGAGAAGGCTACTTCAAGAATGTCAATTTGGTAATGCCCGATGAGTTGATAAATAATCGAATTTCACTGATATTAGTCGTTAAAAATATTACAATAGGAAAAGCATAAACTGCATGTTGTTGAACAAAAAGGAAATTCAAATGACTGTCATAGTAAATCGTTCAGTATATGAATATTGTATTAATAATTGAATATTACAGTTGATAATTCAATGAATGAATTTTTATTAGCCTCCCTTATTACTGAATATTTCAAATTTCTTAACATTTACGTCGCTGGGTGATCATCTAAGCTGGCGACCTTTAGACGACCGAAATCATCGTATCATGCTCTCTATGACACGGACACGCCTGCTTCCGCATCCGAGTCATTAAAAAAAGTTACTTTCAAATGAAAACTTTTCTTTTCAATTGATAAGAAGAACATAGGAACGATCCTGGCGTGTTTCTTCCCATGTAAAAATTTTACGATCAAAATTAAATAATTTTCTTATACAGCATCTTTTTTCAAGTAAGGAATTGGTGATTCTGATTGTCATATATTAATTACAATTGGCCTAAAGAAATAATAAAAAATAAACGCTTTGCCTTCATAAAGATAACCTGCCGAGCATAGCGCTGGATTCAAAGGTTTTATTCATATTTAATACATATTGACTGCAACTTTAAGGCAGGCACATAAAGCTCGGCCGTACGTTTATAATTCAGGAACCATTAGGCTTATCATATACGCACCCTTCTCAGTAATAATTTAAGGGCAAACAACATCAGCAGTTATCGATGCTCCTTACTTCATGTTGTGCGTGAAACCTAGACGCTGAATTGTGATAAAAAGCTATGTATTGATTTGCACAGAAACAATGAAAAGTTCAGCTGACTTCCGAGTCTCCCAATTTTTAGAGAAGAAGGCCCGATAAAAAACATTAGCACAACTAAAAATTTTGACAGTTTTTTACGAATTCAATATTATTTCAGTTATAATAAGCTTTTATCTGTTTGGGAAATTATGTTTTGTCACAACATTTTATTCGTTTGAACACCTGTTGGTTTTCTTTTCTTATCTACGTATAATAAAAATATAATAATATGTTGGGTAAGAAATAATTTGTACTGTTAGGAGGAAGTGCTTTTATGCTATGAACTTCAGATGTTCATAAAAATTATCTCGCTTCTTTAAATCGTAACAAGAAATTATTCAGATGTTATTTTCTCTGAGTTGCCAGAGCAAACTATTGAAAGTAAATGACATTACAGCTAGAGTGTGGTTATAGTAAGATATTTGAAGGTCATACTTAAATGAAAATTACACAGACGTAGAAATATTGTCTAATTATTAAATTGCTATTACGAGATTTGTTGATAGAAAAATAAAGTAAGTTTTGATTTAGTTTGAATCAAGATTTTACCTGATGAATGAATTTTATTTTTTCAGTTTTTGCAGTAAGATGAAAATATTAAAGAAGATCCAATACATTCTAAAAGTTCCCACTCAATATTTCGTGTTTCAACAACGAATCAATTTCAGCATGCTTATTTCAACCTCGCGTCAACGGTGAACGCGTGAAGTGCAAAGAATCGTTAATAAAACACGCGAAATGTCGATGAAAGAGTGAAGTGCTCGCTCGGTGGACGAAAGGACATATCGCATTCATCTTTTTATCATACAAGTCGCATTGACGTTTCTTTCGACGTTATCTTTTGCTCGGACGCTCTACAAACAAGGAAGGACTTGTGCAAACAACAATTTATAGAGTCGGTGTTATTTCTTTGGTTTCTCCGAGTGTATTGTGTAGCTAATTTACGGTTACTGCCATTATGATCCATAATAATATTTGCCGAGCACTGTAGTGCTTAAACAAAGTTTGTAGCTTTGTTCGGTCTGCCTCTGCAACACTTGAAATGCACTCACTTTGCAAAGTAATTGGATCATGCATCGTCCTGAATTGAGGAACGAATTATTCCTAAAATACTTGCCGCACAATATGTACAATAATACCGATTCTATATTTTCAAATTGGGGCCAACAGTATCCATTATAAAATTACCGCACACTTTTACACAAGCAAGCTTAAGGAGCTTGAACTATCACGAGCCTTGTTGTCCCGGCTCGTGACTTGCTGCAAACTGCGGCTTTATGTTTCAATTACAAAATGTAGACAAGAGAACATTCGAAGGCGGAAGTTATAGAGGCAAACATTTCTCCACGATGAGCCAGGAAAGATAACATGGCTCAGGCAAGCTGATGTTGATATTGAATGAGTTGTTGATTTTTTACGAGATTCCCAACAAAATTAACTTCACGTTTCTACGTTACATTATTATTACATAATGATGCTAATAACAAGGCGCGTGCGCTGTAGAAAAACTACCACTACCGTAGTTACAACATCAATAAAAAACAAACATAGTTAGATCTATACACTATTTTTCCTGGAAAATAACAACCTGAACGTACATTATGAATAATACCTGCATAGACTCGCTAAGACGCCAGCTACACTGAATGATGCTCGTAAGTTGCATAATAAAGCTTAATAAATAGAATAATGAAGAAGCTGGATATAATCGCTGCCAGGCTTTAGATTGTAACTTGTAAGTTCTTTGTAAACTTGCAGATTTTTCTATGTTAAAATTATAATTAGTAAATATTCCAAGTCTCGAGCTGAAATGAACGGCTGTACATTTTAGCCATCCTCGGTGAAAAGAAAAAAAAAATTATATCCATAATTAGGAATTTTGTGTGATCATTAACATCATACAATGATCCTTAACTCAAGGTCAATGTCTAAATGCGGTCGATGGACTCTGTTTTATTTATCGGAGTCCGTTTATTTTAGTCTGCTTAACAGTTGCGGGAGTTGGAGTGACGCATGCAAGATTATGCATGAAATTTGAATCCTTCTCTGACTGAACGATCAATGCTGGTAAGACAATCACTCTAACACGCCACTCCATCAAGACCAGCAATAAACCTTGGGCATGTTTTGCCTTATATGGAACAATAGAGGATCACCATAGTAACGGTTATATATTGATATTGTTCCAATGTTTAAAAGTACGATACAGCATACAGCGAACTGAGAACAGCTATTTTTTCGATTCTGCAACCGACTCTACAATATGCAATTCTGTAATGATTTAGGTTCTATAACGAAAAATACATGGTGTATGAAATTCAATAAAAATCATATCAGTACTCACTGCAGTGAGTGACAAAGAGCGCATTTTCTTGTCCATCCGTCACGTAAAGTCACGGACGGACAGTCACGGACGGACGGACATGACGTGCACAATCACGCCTTTTTCCATTAAGGAGAAAATGCGCGATTAAACTGGTTGATGGTCAATCGGAACATACAGTCCTTGGCCAGTATGAAGACGGCCGACGCGTGCAAACTTATCACAGGAGTCAATAAAGCATAACTACGAAACAGTTCGCTCAGTTGTTCGGCCGTCTTGCCTTTAACACGCAAGCTCAATTTGCATAAAAGAGCGCCACTTACAGCAATCCATGCTCTGACTCAGCCGCCTCTAACACGATACCCCTTACGGTCTAACAAAGTACTGTAAATAATTACTCGATAATGGATTTCTCATTGCATGTATGCAAAGAGATAGTCGTTGTTAGCTTTGACGTTACTAATAGAACGCTTGAGATAAAACTCAAAGGTTACTTGCAGTTCCCATGACATTTGCCTGCTCTATTATCAAGATAATTCCGCACATTTAAGCAATCGTGCTCGTTTTATCGCTAAACTGACGAAATAATTCAAAGAATAATTACAAATGCATTAATATGAATTATACTGTACGTAGCATGACTTTTATTGCACAAAAATAACAGTCATATGCACGAAACAAATGGAGGATTTTTCGTAATCAAAAGATTTTACTTTTGAAATGCCTAGCCAGGATGACGATTGATTGAGGAACCGAGATAAAATTACATTATAAAATGCGCCATTGACACTATTATTATTAGTTTATTATTATTATTAAACAATATTGACATCTCAACTAAGAGGATCGGTTTAACGTAAACTCGATTCATGGATTTAAAAACGGTGCAACAGAACCTGCAAATACTGTTTAATGAATATAGTACAGTTTCCGTACGAATTCTCAGTACTAAATTCAACATAGGTTTTATGGTAGAAAATGATGGAAAAGTTTATTGTCCTGTACTAATATGATCCTTGATCAGAGCACTCCTAGCACATTCAGTAGTCGCGTGCCCTCGTGGATAATGTTTGAATAGGACAAAAGCCATAAAATCATCGGAAATAGAACTTTTAAAAGTCCTACGCTGTTGCAGGGTTTTCTAAAACTTGTTTACTCCTGCATTTATAGAATTAATGAACAGCGCAATTTTTCCCAATGTGAGCGATGAAATTGTTATATTCTACATCACAGCCCCATTGATACGGTAGAGAGTAGTGCTGATGCTTGGAGCAGTAGATTTTGGACTTCATTAAGTTTATCTAACCTAAAAACGTATGTACAGGATTGAAAAAGAAAAATAAATGTATATTTAACTTAATTTCTCAAAGAATTTTACCAACGCAACACAAAATATTTCCGATTCACACATCGTAGCACTTTGCTTTTAAAAACTACGTGGACAAATAATCGATTCGAAAACATGGATGCCTTTCTTTAAATAAATGCAAAAAGTGCTGAGATTTAAACACAACTCATAGTATTTCTTATTTTTGGAAAAAAATGTCTCAAAGAATAGTGTGGTTTGCCATCTCCATATATTTAAATTTTAAATTTTTTAGAGCAATTTACTGTACACGGTGGAATACAATAACAATACCTTGCTTGTTACTGCCGGTAGTGCGCAAGTCCCAATTAGTGAATCTACTAATGAAGTTCAACTCGAAGGCAACGCCCTATGAACGTGATCTGGGACACTATATATAGCGACCATCGCTTCATCACGGCTACGCTCGCGTGGTCGTCATGGCAACACGAGTATTGCTCTCGCTGAGTCGTGTCGCTACGGACGGTATCATAGATACGAACTGCAACAGAGAGATTTCAATGGAAATAAAGATCACTGCAGTTCACTCGCAACTTTTGTGACGGTATGTGCGCCAAGTGTGGTTTGCAAGCAGTTCTGATATATTTAATCAATTCGGATGTCATGTGTTTATTAATAACAGCCGAATGTTTCTAATTTGCTCATATGGACACGTGGATTATCGTGTCGAACCGAATTTGATATGTTAAATTAAAACAAAGTAAGAAGTGATATCAAAATGTAGAGACCAAAAATTATTCAAAAGTTCAACGATCCTGCATCGGAAAAAATCCGTCTAACTAATCGTTTTAGTTTCAGGGTACCAATTAAATTGGTATAGTAAATACGCAAATACAAATTTGATACTATATAATACGAATACCACGCACTTCACAAACAACTATTAAATAATTAATCATTTGACTTGCACCACACCGAAGAGAGTCGCGTGATGCGAAATGGATACCATTGATTTCTTTTCTAGGCCATTCTCTCCCCATTCACGTTCGTAGGCATTACGTCCAAACATTCAAAATAATATTATTCTGAATGATATTCAGAATAATTGTGCTCAGGTATTCTAGCAAAGAAAAGGTCGCTAGCTTGAAATTTATTATACCAAAAAGAGTAAAATCAAAATGGTTAAAGATGGTTCGAAATTCGTTTCGTGATCCCACAAATTAAGTACTAGACTAGATAATACATACTACAGGCATTTGATTCAATAAGTTATTTTCTAAAGCATTTCTTGATGCCATCGTTTTTCCAGTGTAACATACAACTAGATTGCCAATGAAAATTGCCGCCCCACGCAATTGCAAAAACTAAATCGCGGAATTTGTCCGGAAATAAAACCGTCTGGCATCCCTGGTTGCAACTACCAAACACACTCTCAAGCTAACACGTGGTTGGATAGCTTCGGAATAAAAACGATGCATACAGCCACGTACGATGAATTTTTAATTGAATCATAGATCTGAAACCTCGAATTTATGTGTCAAAGTTTACGTGTTCGTGTGCTTGAAGCCTGGCAAGGCATATACATGGGGGCTGTTCGAGCATGTATATGTACACTATGCGATATAAGTATTGTTGATACGCGCTCTACTGATGAGATGTCGGAATATTACATACACCAGAACTTTATTCTTATCGAAAGAATTTTTAATTTCTATAAAGCATTTCGAAACAAAGAGGATAGAAATGAATTGGAATAAAAAAAGAAGTTTTAAATTGGCATATATAAAATGTAATTTAAAAGGCGCAATATAGTAATTCCTATATTTTAAAACGAGAAACAATCAAGTCGTATTTTCTGTGTAAAATTTCTGTTCAGACTGATCTCTCCTAATTAACACACATTTGCTTTAAAGTTTAAACGAATGGAATGTCGCGAATCACGAATTGAATGTCACGAATCACGAATGGATTTTAACATTATTCAGGATAAAGAGATTCCAAGATAGCAGGGATTATCGATCACCCGCAACGCCGAGCTCACCTGACAGTAATGAATAATTCAGTCGGAATTCTGCGACTCGATGCCCACTTTCAAATAGCTTGATGCCTCGGTGATTCTGTGACAGTGTTAAAATAGTGTAATCAATCGAACGTCAAGGACTACTACACAGAGTAGAGTAGTCCTTGTCGAACGTATAATTAATTAATAAGAAGTGCAGTCTGTTTCAGAGTTAATTATGATGAATAGTAAATTCATAAGTAAGTAAGTAAAATCCCAATTACTAAGAAGGTTATTTCATAATTATATTTACCAGAAAAATAAAGATAATTCATAAGTCAATATTACCGTGAAAATGTTCGGGAAAAAAAGCCGCCCCACGCCAGAGGGAGCTGAGGTTGACACCAGCACACGACGCAGCTTCTCAGAGCAGTCAGCGCAGCGAGCTGGCCCTCTGAACAGGAGCAGCAGGCGTCTGTCTCTGGGATTAAAGGTACACGTGACGTCGTCACAATTGTAGATATATCATTTGTAGACTTGCGGCAATAATTAAATGGAAATTGATATATATTTGGCTAAATGGGTATGCGTTACACAGTAGAAAACCATTCAAGTTAGTTATTTTATCAGCATAACAGGACTGTCGATGAAACTCACTAGTTGGATGCAAATCATTCAAGTTTTTTTCTTTCTTACAACGACGAAAAGAAAGTAGTTTATCATCAAGCAACTATATCTTGAAACAGATTTTAATCACGCTAAGCGTATGGATTTTTTACGCACATTTCACGAAGTAATTTGAACCATTGACTCTATTAAAACTGAAAAAAATTCATGAACAAGTCATACCGATTGTTCTGTCGCGTACGATGAATCAGCAAGAATATAGTGTGTGCAACAAGACATCTTTTTCTTTTCTATAAAGACGATAGTACGCAAGTTAGACGCTCGCAAATGCAGCTGCAGTTCCGTGAGTAGGAAATATTTTGAGCAGGAAATATTTTGAGTAGGAAATTGGATAGGAAATTTACCTAATTAGTATAAAATATTGTGTACTTGACATTTCTGGATTCATAAATCACCATGCGTGACGAAATTGTATGCTCTGAAACTTAGGTCATTTCGCGACATTCAATATTAAGCTGAACTGTAATTTCGATTAGTTCTTGTCAACGAGCGACGAACGAAAATTCGTTTCAGTTTCTGTCTGAATAAACAGGACACAAGAAATGCGTGTGGACGGTGAGCGTGTAGGCGGGCAGTCAGATAATTTTTTCCATTTCTTTGTGCCTTTTATGCGATTTTTATTAAATTAAATCTGCCTTTTTCCATGCCAATATATAAAATTATTCCTGAGAAGCTGATTGTTATACTCATGGATATTTAATATAGTTTAATATACGCTAATATATCGCCATTTCCGGACGACTGCGCTGAAAAGTTGCTGAACTACCGTCCCAGTGCTGTCTCAAATTATTCATAATTCTCATTGTTCGTTCAACTAAAATGGTGAGGCGGAGTATTTCTGCACCTATCACTTCGAGTTGTATAGGAATTGGATTACTGTACTTCACTTTAAAATAAGTTGCATATCAGCTCCATATTTTCAAAAATTTCGTCTTCGTGCATACGAGAGCACTTCCTTAATTAACTAATACAAGTTTTCGAAGTCAAAGTTTAGAGTAATTATATACATGCATAAATAAACTTCTGCCATCCTGCATACATATTCTGTCAATAGTTACAAACCCTTCTGAATTGAGGTTTTTAATTAATTGACTTCAATGTATTTATAGGATTTTGAAATGGTTGACGACTTTTTTGTTTGACAGCGAAGAGCCCAACGTCTGTGATTGTAAAAATTCATACATCGATTTAAACTATGGCATGTATCATAATATACACGTATGATATATATAGTATATATCATACACTCTTACAGACGTCAGAAAAGTCGGCGAAAGCCAGTACCAAAGTCGTCAATCCCCAGAAGAGCCGCAAGGAGATATTGCAGGAGGTCGACCAGGAACGAAAAGAGCGTCTGCAGTTGAAGAAGGATGTCTTCGGCGAGGATTGGCTGGATAAGTGCTACGAGCAAGTCACGTACCCCAACCCTGCGTGTATTGAGGTATGAAACTGTGATTATATTTAATCCTTGTCGGAACTCATAGGTATAATTGTACCTATATATTTCGGTACGATTATAACGATGTACTTATTGTGCAGCATTACAAGGGTTAATGCCTATTTACTGAAGCTTTTATTTTAATTACAATCTAAAATCAAATTTATATAAAGGAAAAGAATGTATTAGAATGCATTAAAAATGTATTATATTGAAAAAAATTTTCAATATAAATCAGTAAAAGTTTGCACTTAGGTTATGTAAGTGGTTTTTCGAATTAAATCATATGATCACGTTCATCATATCACCCGTACTCACTATCTCATATCACTATCATATCATATACTCACTATCATATCACCCATACCCACACTATTATCAGTTATGCTTATTTTATTTAATTTTGTGAAGTTTTAATATTATTCACTGTATCTTCTTCAACTTTCATTAACGTACATTGGAATTAATTATCGAGTCTCCTGCCAGCTCATGGAAAAGGTGGGTCGAGTTCTGGCCAAACGCATCACGACGCCCCAAGACTCCGAGCAGAAACAGCAGGCCTTGTTCTACCTCCTGGGACCTGAGTACACTGAACAGTACTTCCCCACACGCACCTACAGCGTCGACATCTTGGTACAATATACGACTTTTGCAGCACTTCGTTGTAGAATATACGACATCTTCGACGCATCCTTGTAGAACATTAAATATCTTCGACCATCCTTGTAGAACATTAAATATCTTCGACCATCCTTGTAGAACATTCGACATCTTCGACGCATCTTTGTAGAACATTCGATATCTTCGACGCATCCCTGTAGAACATTCGACATCTTCGACGCATCCCTGTAGAACATTCGACATCTTCGACGCATCCTTGTAGAACATTCGAAATCTTAAACGCATTCTTGTAGAACATTCAACATCTTTGACGCTTCCTTGTAGAACATTCGACATCTTCGACGCATCCTTGTAGAACATTCAACATCTTCGACGCTTCCTTGTAGAACATTCTACGCGTCCTCGTAGAATATTCGACATATTTGACGCATTTATGAAGAACATTCGATCATCAAGCTTTCAAGAATCCTTACTAAGAAGTTTAAAATTTCAATCCATTGTGAAATATTTATTTATGATCATTCGCGTACAAGTGTTGGTAGAAAATTATTTTATAACGATATTAGCTAAATGAAAATAAATTGCATACTTATTTAATTTTCTTGTAGTTTCTTTTTCTTTCTAGCATACACTGCTTGAAATAGCATACATATACTGAAATAGGTTATTATATTTAAATAAATCCGTATATCGAATTATATTCTGCTCATATTTGTTCATGTTTCATTTAAAAATATCACACAAGAAAATTGTTAATCGGAACTTTTCTTCACAGGAACCTCCAAAGATGTTGCCTGCAAGGAAAGAAAAATATCTGGAAGAAATGACCGAGTTCCTGAAAAACACTCTGGATAAAGCCATGGACGTAAGCGGCTTTGAAATAATGTTTATTCTGACTTTTCATGGAATCCTCAATCCTATGCTTCTTAATTTACTTCCCTAATGAAATTTTCACTTACTATTATGTTATCAATAAAATAATTTATGGAGAAATTAAGACACAAAAATACATTTTTCACGTTCATGGCAATTAAAAATGTATATTTTGTGGGTTTGATGGACTATTTTTACTAATTTTCCGATTCCGTTTCCATTGATATCTACATATCTGTGTCTACGGATGCATAGACGTCGTCAATGCTATCCGTATATGAAGACTTCCTAACTTATGTTACCGTCAGTAGACCAAGGGTTACCTGTCTTTGACAGTTGACAAAGGGTTAACCGTCTCCGTCTATAGAAAATGGTTAACCGTTATCGTCATTAGACAAATGATTAACCATCACCGTCAGTTGACAAGGGATCATCCCTATTCGTCGGTAGAAAAATGGTTAACCATAACGTCAGAAGGAAAAGGGTTAACCGTTACTAAAAGTAGACAAAGGCTCAAACGTTACCAAAAGTAGACAAGTAGTAGTAGTAGTAGTAGTATGATGGTTTACTAGCGCTTCAGCTATAGAGCTATTTCGCGCCGGAGGTTATAATTTAACATCGCCAGCAAGGCGGAAGGTCTCAATTAATCAAAATCTCAAGTTAATCATCACCCACAAGGGGCGGAAGGCCTCAATTGTCCAGCCCGCTGAAGCTGGCTCGAAAGAAGTAGCGTTAGCATCTCAAAGAGACGAAGTGACAAGGAGGGACAGGTGAAAATCAACAGAAACGAAGATACTCGCACAAGAGGTCGCTTACACGGGACGTCGGCCGCCCGCACGAGAGAGACAGAGAAGGGAAATGCAGGAAGGGAAGGAATCCTATACCTACATAATAACTTAACCCCACAACCGAGACCTGCAGTCAGACCCCGCGAGCTCAGCGGTGGGGCGCTCAGGAACAATCCCCCTAGGAGCACGAAATCCCATAGGACTTCTGACGCGCACAGACACACGTTTGAAGTCCCCTCTGAGGGGAAAAGTAGACAAGGGGTTAACCGTTACCATAAGTAGACATGGGGTTAACCGCAACCGTAAGTAGACAAAGGGTTAACCGTTACCATAAGTAGACAAAGGTTAACCGTTACCATAAGTAGACAAATGGTTATCCGTTACCATGAGTAGACAAAAGGTTAATACCATAAGTAGACAAAGGGTTAACCGTTGCCATAAGTGGACAAAGGGTTAACCTTTACCGTAGGTAGACAAAGGGTTAACCGTTACCGTAAGTAGACAAATAGTTAACCGTTTTCATAAGTAGACAAATGGTTAACCGTTACCGAAAGTATACAAAGGGTTTAATGTTGCACGTCGCAGGACTGCGGCTTCCCACGTCTGTACACGGAGCACTCGGTGGACGACGAGCTCTACCGCTACCTGTTGGCTGCGCGTACCGTCTTCAGGAAGGGGCTCGAGCAGCGCGTCATGAAGGAGCGAGGCAAGGTGAGTTGTTGAAATGGTTTGGATTGGTGGTTCTTTTGCGTTGCCTGGGGTGGGTGATACGCTGGGTAGTCTAAGATATAATAATATAATAATATAGCGGTTTCTGCGTTTATTAGGCCGTAGGCCTGTCGCCGATTCTTAACATCGCAGAACATCCACAGCATTTTGCGGTCTCGAACTCACAACTCACTGATTCAAATTCTGCTTTGCTTAACCGCCCGGCCTCCTGGCCGATTCTGACCAGAAACTGGCGCACAGAGCTGGGATCGAACCCGCACCTCTCTGCGCCCATCTTGGTACTCTGAACTGCAACCACTGGGCCATGTCTATTGAATTCCCTAAAATGTGCCAAATACAAGGCCTAAAATTGCTAATATTCCTTCATAAATCAGGCTTATTGGATTGCTTAATGGAAAACCTCTTTTCCTTCCTTAGAAGATAAATGGGACCTCAGCTGAGAAGTTACAAGTTCTCGTGGCAGAAGGAGGCCCCCAGATGAGGGTGACAGGATCCAGCATCGTGGCGCTGCTCAACAAACAACCCAGCAAGAAGAAGGCCTTCATACAGAGGTGAGCTCCGTGAACACTGGGTGCTATCCAACTTAACCTACCCCAAGATTATGAGGAGTCTTTGTTTCTTTGAGGACTCTTTGTTTCTTTGAAGAGTCTTTGTTTCTTTGAGGACTCTTTGTTTCTTTGAGGAGTCTTTGTTTCTTTGAGGAGTCTTTGTTTCTTTGAGGAGTCTGTTTCTTTGAGGAGTCTTTGTTTCTTTGAAGAGTTTTTGTTTCATTGAAGAGTCTTCGTTTTTGTGAGGAGTCTTTGTTTCTGTGAGGCGTCTTTGTTTCATTGAAAGTCTTTGTTTCTGTGAGGAGTCTTTGTTTCTTTGAAGAGTCTTTGTTTCTTTGTGGAGTCTTTGTTTCTCTGAAGAGTCTTTGTTTCATTGAAGAGTCTTTGTTTTTGTGAGGAGTCTGTTTCTTTGAGGAGTCTTTGTTTCCTTGAGGAGTCTTTGTTTCTTTGAAGAGTCTTTGTTTCATTGAAGAGTCTTTGTTTTTCTGAGGAGTCTTTCTGTTTCTTTTTCTACCTGCATTAAGATAGGGATCATAATTCATTGCCGAATTGATTTATGTGTGAAGCCACTAATTTTACAACTTAAACTCACAAGTTTGCTCAATTATGAAACAAATTTTCTGAGATTTTTAAGGTATCGAAATGATTTTTCTTATGAACTGCAAAATACCGTGTTGTCTGTATTTAGGAACAATCATCATAAGTAAATACAAAAAATTAATTTCTATCTGATTTACCTCAAAATAATTCAGTGATTTTACATTCCTTACAATAACTTTTAGCTGCCATGTTTGTAGTATCTATATGCGTTTATTTTGCTCGTTGTTTCTCCTATTGTAATTTCAACAGAAGTACTATTGCAAACGATGCAATCAAGTTTCGCACTTATAAATATGTCTTTATGAATATAATGTTAAGTAAACCGTATTATTGACAGTCTGCCCTTTGCCTAGGCTGGCATCAGCGAACTCCAGTCCAATCAGACAAGAATTTTTTAGAAAGCTCGAGCCAACATTAATGAGTCGCCTTTAGTTTTGAACTAATGAACACTCCAAGATACCTTGTACAATATTTGTTGACGCCAGACAGTGCGAAGTAATTTCTTAATATCGTATGAATTTTGAGTAAAAGATGTGTAATAATTCATTCCATAAGTGTACGAAATGGTCTTTATTCCTACAGCTCTTCGTCTGCCCAGCCAATTCAGTGAAGATCGCAGCTCAATTACAATTAAACGATGAAACCCTGAAACCTATTTATGATTCTTAGCTTTCGAAATAACTGCTCACTGACGCGAATAACTTTCGTACAGGTACTTTGGTATACATGCAGAGTTATATTTGAAGAGTATTCTTTATGTTTAATCACGACAATTTTTTTTCGTTCTGTTCATTTTAATAGTCAAAATGCAAGAATTTTTGGTTCAACTTCATATATCCAATGATTTCTGCTCCACCTCTCTTGTCATTATAGACTCGCAATGTAGTATGATCGAACCTTACATTACGTTACTCGTTATTAACATTGACCATTATTTATATGATAACCACTGGGTAGGGTGGCCCAGTGGTTAAAATTAAGAGTATCAAGATTGGAGCAGAGAGGCACGGGTTCGATCCCAGCTCTGTGCGTCAGTTTCTGGTCAGAATTGGCGAGGAGGCCGGGCGGTTTAGCACAGCAGAATTGTAGCAGTAAGTTGCGAGTTCGAGACCGCAACAAGCTGTGAATGTTCTTCGATGTGAAGAATCGGCGACAGTCCTACTGCCTACTAAACGCTGAAACCGATAATAATAATAATAATAATAATAATATAATTATTATCATTATTATTATTATTATTATCAATATTATTATTATTATTATTATTATTATTATTATTATTATTATTATCATCATCATCATTATTATTCTTATTATTATTATATTTGGAAGCGATTATTATACACCATTATTTGTATCAACTGTTTCATCATTCACAATCCCTCTTAGTGTGTCAGGAAAAAAGATGGCGCTGCCCGGCGCGCTCCGACGCTTCGTGTGGACGGAGGTGATGGCGGGGAAGGACAAGAGTCTGAAGCTGAAGGAAGGACAAAGTTGGGAGGCGGAGAAGCTCAAGCTCTTCACTGCTGACCTCTCCAAACAGGCCAAGAAGCAGGGCCTTGCGCGCGTCACGAGGAGCAAGAACGGCGGCCTCATCGATGCCGCGGTTATTGAGGCTAGTTCTCGAGCTCTTTTTTGAGGTCACATTATTGAATTTTATTTGAAGAGCTATTCTCTTTTTGTTCTTAATGCTTGATTTTGTGTTTTTGATCTTTCAAGGCTGCTCTATTGATTGCTCCTTTCCGTGGTACGGGAATTTTGTCGTGGTAATGAAGTCCCTATGCCTGCATTTTCAGGGAGGATATTTGCGTTATCAGAGGAATCTTCTGTTCAGGGATAGTTTTACTTTAATTGAGGTGATTATATGAGCTAGATTGCATATCGGTTCGGTGATTCTGTCATCATGGACTAGGTTGCTGGTGCTCAAGGTGCTCAAGTAATAATAGCGTATTCAGAGCTGGGATCGATCCCGCACCTCTGTGCTCCAATCTTAATGTCGTCGAAGCGGTTCCTGCTATTCCGAAACAACTGCTTTTTGACTATTACTTTTAGTTTAATGGATTATTACCAAGTTTTTTTCTTGACTTCGTTTCGTGTGAGTCTGCCATCAAAAATTCAAACCTTAATTTAAAGCACTTCTAAACATCCTAGTAAGCTGAAATTTGGCATGCATGCTTATGCTGCCTAACAATTCAAGATTTGATCATCAGAAATAATAATTAAAAACATTTTTTTAAACATAATTAAAAAATAGTAAAAAAACACTAAAAATTCACGGTTCTGAATTGAGTTTTTTCTCGAACATCCACACTTGCCAACCCTGGAAATTGATTTGAATTGCTAAAATTGCTAACTAAAAAGTAGAAAATAAATATATAAAATAAAACAAATAAAAAAACACGTTTTCTTAACGGACAAAAAAGAAGAACATTTACTCTTACATAACATTTAAGTTATGTAGAATGTTATGTAATGTTATGTAAGAGTAAGGCGGCGCATCAGCGTAACCGGGAACTAGGAAGTCCCGAACTCATCATAAGGTAAGGTCATAAGTAAATGTTTTTCTTTTTTGTCCGTTAAGAAAACGTGGTTTTTTAAAAGTTTTTTATTTGTTATTATTTGGATGAACAAAATGCATTGAAAAGCAACGTCATTCATACAACGAATATAAATCTTTAAAGATAAAAACAAACTAAAATGAGCAGCAAGTAAAACAGATCAGTGGAAGCGAGTGAAAAATAATATTCAACTAAATGAGACTATTATCCTCCCAAGTCTAATCCTATAGCTGTTAATTTCCTTCATTTTATGTAAGTATCAAAGTTTTTAGCAAAGTTCTTTTACCGTTTACGATTATTCGTGAATGAATGTTCGTTTATACAGATGTTTGACGAGTCCCAGGTATTCAAATCACTGGACTCGGACGACTTCTCTATGCGGATCGCACGGGTGTTGAACACAGCGGACGTTCACTCAGGAAATTTTAGTCCGTTTCACGCGTACCACGTGATAGCTCTGTACACTGCCTACCATCGCAGCGACCTCCAGCCTGAGGATGATGGTGAGTCATTACCGGGAACAGGAATCACTCTTCAGTTTCAGTGAATTTTCACTGGGTGGGTCATGAGTTGTCACTGGGTAGGTCATGAGTGACAACTTACATGAGTAGTCAATGGGAATGATGATCATCACGAGAGGTTGGTCATGAGTTCATATATAACAATAATGTGTTATGTAGTTCCCATTTATGAACTGTAATATATAGGTCATGCTGTGCTTACGGTAACTGGTATGAGTAACTGGTGTGTGCTCATGGTAACTAGAACGGGTAATACGATGCATACGGTAACTGTAATTAGTGGGTCGTTATGTGCACAAATGATACTGTTATGGGTAAAATGTGCTCAGAGTAACTTGGGAAAAATGGGGCACCACCATAACTTTGAGGGTTATATGAAGTTCATAATAGACTGGAAAGTGTTGAAGGATAAATAAAACACGTCAAGGTAAAGTTTGTATTGCAGAATGCATGGTAGTGTAGCGTGAAAAAATAGTACTTTGCATTTGCTAGAAATGTTGCATTGAGTATTTAATATTATGTAATGATGGCAGATTCCGAGACGCTGCATTTGGCGTTCCTGATGACGCAAGTCGCCAGTTTGCTGCTACCTAAGCCGGACTCTGTTTTTGCGATGGCAGAGCGGGCGCTAGGGACTGTACAGGTGCAGGACAGCTTCTACTACAGTCACATCAAAGAGTCGCTCGCCAATCAGCCCAGCAAGATTACTGGCAAGGTGTTGCCCTCTCAATGCTGATTTAAAAAGTTTTTTCTCATATTGGACGTGTTTAATTCTTAATTTAAAAGTGTTGCTTTTTATAGTGAACTCATTTTATTCCTGCAAAAATGTGATTATTTCGATTAAAAAGTGCTGTTTTTATAGTGAACTTGTTTTATTCTTGCAAAATGTGATAATTTCGATTAAAAAGTGTTGTTTTTATTGTGAAATTGTTTGATTATTGCAAAATTGGATCATTTCGATTAAAAAGTGTTGTTTTTACAGTGAACTCATTTTATTATTACAAAGTGTGATCTTTTCGATTGTGAAAAAATACAATAATATTATCAATCGATTCACGAGTAGAAAGAAGGTATGTCTATCGGAGAGATGGAGAATTTTGTAATTTTTAGTTAGTACTCTAAGAATCTTATATAGTACCTGCAATTTTGTAAACAATATAGTATTTCCATCAGGATCGCGGCGCATTTGCGCAAAAAAAAATAACCAAAAATATTAAAGCAATTAATTGCCGGAGATAATAAAGAAGAAGTAACCTGAGATAAATAGAAAAAGACCACAGGGTAGCCAAGCAAACGATTCATCTTACTCATTATGTTTAAAATAATGTTCTTAGGTATATATATGACATTGTTTATAGAACTACTACTCCAAGAAATAATGTTGAAGATTAATTTCTTGGTATTTCTTGGTACTTGTTTCGGACGTAGCAGTCCCAGGCCACGATGGATCGCCGCTTTTCATTCTTAACATTAATTTTTTTCCGTACCTAGGAATTTCCCCCGGAGGTGCTGGACCGCAATCCGTCGGCAGGGACGAAGCTGCTGGACCAGATCCAGCAGCAGCTGTCTGCTTCAGGCGAGCTGCAGGCAAAGCAGCTGCTCGTCTTCACCGATCCAGCAATCTTCGTCAGAAAGTGGATCGCCCAGGTGCCTTCAGCTCTGAAATACTAATTCTTCTGGATAGAAATTTCAAATTTAGTGTGAAATTTATTAGTGGAATTTCAGATTCAGCATAGAAGTAAAAAATATAACTCAGTACTCACTGCAGAGAGTGACAGAGAACGAATTTTCTCGTCGACGAAAACGTGAAGTCACGGACGGACGGACAGACAGACAGACGGACGGACAGATGGACATGGCGAGCAAAATAGATCCTTTTTTCCATAAAAGAGAAAATGCTTAAAAATACGCACAACAGAAATAATTCAGTATGCTCATTATTAATGTATCATAAATCTGAACTCAACAACATTGCTTGAATAACCCAAAATAATATTGAATGGCCTATCATTCCAAGCAACAATTCTGAATACTTTAATATTTGTGTATTAATGAACAAGTCAGACGCAAATGTCCGGGAACCAATTAACTTTTAAAGTGATTTTGTTAGGTAGATCCGTTCATAAGTTTCGAAAAAAATTACATCTGAATATTGTTGAAATTTTGCGTCCAATACATCTAAATATTGTTGAACTTTTTGGTACGTAGTTACGTGGCTGAAGTCCCACTTTGACTTTCATTACACCGTAAAACGCATCATTCCTGTAAATCGCCTTATTCAGTGAAAAGAGTCATGCGGTGACACGTCTTTGGCTTGCGTCGTACCCTGATATTCATCTATATGATACTCATGCTTTGATACTCGTGCTTTGATACTCATGCTTTGATACTCATGCTTTGATACTCATGCATTGAGTATCATAGCATGATACTCATGCTAAGACCGTCTCAGAAGAAGCACCGTCTTTGATACTTATGTTGACATACTCATGCTTTGATACTCATGCTTGCTCTAATACTCATGCCTTAATATGAGTATCATGCTCATATTAAGGCATGATACTCATACAATATGAGTATCATGCTTGCTCTAATACTCATGCTCTGATACTCGCAGTGCTTCATGGGTGTGCTGAGCGTGGGCGCCAGCATGTGGGTGTGGGACCAGCTCATGTTGGGAGGCTGGAGCCCCGAAGTGTTTATCGACGTAGCGACTGCGGTGCTTTGCCTCCTGCGGCCCTGGATGCTTAGAGCGAATAAATATTCGGGCGCTAAGAAGGTAACGTTTGTTTGCGTGACAATAAAAGCGCGCTTTAGTTTATTTTTAGTCATGTTCGATTGGAATATAATTGTTCTAATTACAATATGGTTATAAGGTAATAAAAACGTGATCATTGTTTGATTACAATATTCTGCGTCTGATTGCATGGTCATTTGATAGTTTTTCTTTCAATTTATCTCCCAAATCGTTTTGCAGGTGGTGAAGTGTTAGCTGTTAGTTCAATAGCTCAAGTGTTCAAGTTTATATAATAATATAATATAATAATAATAATAATAATAATAATAATAATAATAATAATAATAAAGTAATAGCGGTTTCAGCGTTTATTAGGCCGTAGGTCTGTCGCCGATTCTTAACATCACAGAACATTAACAGCTTGTTGTGGTCTCGAACGCGCAACTCACTGCTGCAATTCTGCTGTGCTTAACCGCCCGGCCTCCTCGCCGATTCTGACCAGAAACTGGTGCACAGAGCTGGGATCGAACCCGCGCCTCTCAGCGCCAATCTTGATACTCTGAACTGTAACCACTGGGCCACCCTGCCCATAGGTTTGCCTTGCAGTTACTTGCTTCACTCATGTCTGTTCATTCAATACAGGTGCTGCTGCAGGAGCCTGGCAAGATATACACAAGTGATCTGCGCAAAGTGTACAATCACTTGCAGAGCAAAGGTCGTCTTGTTGAGGCGCCTCCTAACACTAACTACATCGGCCCACCCTCCCCTCCAGCCATCCAGGTATTTTACGATAAATTATCAAGTTTTAATACATAAAAATAAATTAGAACTCGGTGCTCCCACGAAAATAAAATCGTTCTCCCCAAGCACGAGCACAGCAGTAAAAGTTCTTAAAGTTTTGATCGAAATTTCAAAGTTTTTTTTTATTCAAAATTTTGATCAAAATTTCAGTTGGTGGACGAAAATGGTCAACATTCTCCAGCTCAGAGCGATGAAACGCGCATCAGACGCTTACAATCAACGCAATCAATGCCACGTGACAGCAACAAGACGTCGCAACAGACGTCAGCTCGCGGAGAAGACCCCAAGACGAGCGTCAGAAAAGCGTCGTCGACACCTTTAAGGGACGACAACGACGACGATTCATCTGATCGACCAAAAAGTATTTGTTTAATTATAACTTTCGTGTGTTTTTTTGATAGGTATGCAAGTTTTATTTATCCTGTAGCTTCTTTACACTCAAATTGCTGCCAAATTTGACGCTAAAATTAAGCGTCATTTGCAACAGCCCACTATCAATTTAGACGCCGCCTCTGAATTCTCAGACTCAGAGAACGTCTGAGAATTCATGTGAATTCTGACCTCTGAGTCTGAGTTCATTTACACTCAGACGCCTCTACCTCTAGAAGCCCCGGACTCCTGCGCAGACGAGCTCACAGCTGCATCGCTATAACGGGCGCCTATCGTTTACCTACAGCTCCCGGGCACGCTAACTATCCGTCAATATTTAACAGGTCGTATTGAGTTGGCAGGCTGACCTTGACTCACGATGCGCTATGGCCTTGAACTCATCCAAATGATTTATATAATGTGCTGCGGACGAAAAAATATTCATTCGTCGTAAACGCACACATTATTCATTTTATTACACTAGTGACTGCGTTTTAAAAATAGGCGAGTTTTCTTAATAACATAAATTATTTTTTCCGCTTGGAGAACTCTCCATAAAAATATGTTGCGTAGGCAGAATGCTGATGATGTTCAATTATAATGACTCAACTAATGCCATCGTTTGTTTCAGAAGTAAAATATTTCCTCACCAGTAATAAAATTGTAATGATTAAAACGATAGAATCACAGTTATTAAAGCCAATGTCGATTCATCTACACCCAGTTATCCTAATAATCATTAGTAAACGGACTTTTTTATTTTTATAAATGCCATAATCTAATTTTTTTTATTTTCAATAAGTAAAACTGTAGCCAATTCAAGGGAAATTACATGCAAAAAGAATAAATTAAGCGTACTTTTACAAAGCCAAATGCCAGGTAAAATGATGAAGCATAAATAATTTAAATAAAATCGTTGTCAAGAAAGACCTTGAACACAATTTCTTTTTGAACTTAAGAGCGCCTTGCCTCATCGTGAATTGGTTGAAAAAAATTATGCGGAGCTTCCCATGCTGATTCTTTTTATCGCCTTGGTATGCCATTAAAGAAACGTTAGAGGTCCATCACCAACGATGATCATTCCGAAGGATAGTTAAGTGGGCTCTAACAATACAGTGTGTTAGAGCATTCGTCTAAAACTCCTGCACTTAGCCTGCACTTGGCTGACAATCGCGTGCTCTTCGGAATGCCTAATTTCTGATACTACAAGGAAAAATTCAGAGGTCAGACTTGAAATTGAGGTGTAGGTAGCAATCTGACACGGCACCAGCAAAAAGAATTCCGGGGCTATTCACTTGTCCCTCCATAAAGCATTGCACATTTTCCTAGGTTTCTGCACTGATTGCTCATCCTGCGTTCAGTCAAAGATATAATTTTGAAAATCCTGAACTTTAAACGTTACTGTAATATATATTTTAACTTTTTGGCAGCGTGATGCAATCGCTTGTCATTTTCCAAGCTTACACAGTAGAAGTCAGTACAACTGCCTCTTTTTGAGAATGATCATATTTTTGTCTTCTATATATATGTATGGAAAAATATGCTGGAGTTTTTTATGTTCCAGTTTTTTCATCCCATAGTTCATCAAAAAATGAAAGGGTGATACAAAGAGAAGAGCTTATAATTTTTTCGTTGGCTCGAGTGGTATCGAGAACATTGATTGCGTGATCATTGATTCCAAGGCAAGCTGAAGGATAAACGAGCTAACATTGTTTTTCTAGGCTACGTATTTAGCCCAGAATGTATACTGACCCCACATCAAGAAATAGCTGCCCTATATACCAAAGAAGTCGAATTTCGTTTAACACCCTGCCAATATTCGGCCATATATCTAATGATTAGGTATGAGCCTCGAGCCTGGAGTGTTTGCCAACGGTTTGTTCATGGCTACACCGTCAATTTGAAGCAGTCGTGACCTGCTCTTGGAATAGAAGCATCTCTCTGAAGGGTATGAGGCGCACGTTGCAAATTGCTGTTATTATGTCCGCTTGCCGTCATAACCCCAATAGCGTATGTGAGCCTAATTGCAGCGTCACGGTGCGGTGGTCGTTCGTCTCTACTGGATTTACGCTGATTTAGCGGAGTGAATCCGTATTTTGGATTTTGAGCTGCGAACTATTTTGCAGTTTTTTAAATATTGTCCTGATAAACCCTTTGCGAAATTAACTCTCTTTTAAACATTCGATTATTATTCATAATACAACACAAAATCATTATATGAAATAATGGACTTATTATTGACGCGTTAATAAAGAGTTTAGGACTTACGTTTCATCTTCACATTGGATTTTTAAGTGCTTGATACAAAATTTATTACTAGGAAGTGAATCAGAATAAGTTAACAGAGTGTGTTAATCTACGCGTCGGAAGCACCAAGTAAGTAATTTGTGTAAAGCAATCAAATGTGAAACCCATGGAATATTTCTTCCTTCTTTCTGAACTAGATTTTAAGGCTGATTTTCAAGGATATGATTGAATTGAAATACTAATGTTACCTCTTGCAGATTATCAAATAGGTGAACAAATTATACCAATTACTCTGAAGCCCAAATAATAGATCAAATATAATTCTGATCAGCGACATTACAATTACAGACATTTTCCCATTACCGTCAGAGAGTTTTTTTCTTTCCAATCAGAGACATGTTATAAGCACACTTTTTAGAAACAAACGTGCAAATAAACGACAAAGATCTTCTCGATATTAGGAATGGGGTTTTATGTATCTAAATATGCAAGAAATCAAATTATTTTTCACGTAAATTGTTATTTGATGTAATCGATGTTGGCTTTTTACTTGTAACCTGCAATTGTCGAGAGAACCACTCTGTCTGAAAAGCCATATTATGGAATGTAAAATATAGAAATTTAAAAAAATTTTCTTGTATTAGTTTTTACGCAGCTTGAACCAGCAATCAAGCAATTTCTAAATTACCATTCATTTTTGATTTTTGAATTGAAAGCATGAACGGAAAACAGCCAGTGTCCATTTAATTTTTAAGGCCTAAAGTTGATTTTGAAGGCCCCTATAATCCCCCCTGAATGTTTAATTAAACTGTTTTTGATCAACAAACAACGTTTTCTGTACAAAAATATTAATAATTATTGAACGTTGGTAACTGATGAGGTGGCATCATAGCTCGATCACATATCAATGAAAGTCTACGGCAAATGCTAACAGGATTCAATTATCTCGGGATTGTTTATGTACTGAAGTTGACCATTAAGCTTTGATACGTTGCTTAAAATTAAATTGATTGAAATATCTCAATTGATTTGGGATTTTTTAATTTTGTTTCATTTTATTTTCTGTAGTAATAATCTGCAATAAAAATTTCTATAACAAGTTTTAACATACAGTATGTCCGTCCATTATGAAACTTTCTTCTACCAAAAATTGCTTTTCGCTCTAGGGCCATACACATGCAACAATACCAAGTTTACAAATGGTGTTAATAATGCAAACTATTAGCGCATTATTGATCTCCTAGCCGTATCATGAAGGCTCTTATGCACAATTACTAATGGAATTATTAATTATTTCTGTTTGTAATCAGCCAGATATTTTGTGCTTCGATAAATAGGGCTCGAAGTTAAATTTCTATTAGCCCCTGTATCTTTTGTATAAATTAAATGAGCTATAGCGTTGATATTCAGTTTTTACGCTCAGTTTCGCTATTTCAAGGTTTCAACACGGCAACTTCTTGAACAGTATCCTGTGGCAGACATCGAGAACGGGCCAAGCTAATGTTTGTTATTCAAAGCCCCACATGTCAGATATTAGTTGAGATCACGCGCAACTTCCTTAAATTGCCTAGGATCATGCGACTATCGGCTTGACGTGCGTGACTGCCGTGAACCTTCACCTGGACTGCACCAGCGGTAGCGGCATTAACTGCTGGAAAATATGTACCCTAGCGGCCTTATTCTAATTTGTTAGGCCCCAGAGCGAGAAATAGTTTGTTTTTATTTCAAGATGGGCACGCGACGCTTTATATGATATATTTTCAGATTATTGCAGTTTTACTATATTTAAATAATTTGTTCTCCCTTCATTTAATAGTAAACGGTTTAATAGTAAGTGGAAATAATTTGAAAATGAAGAAAGTAATCGTTAGGATTTCACTTCATTTTCAAACGTTGACGCTTTTTTTTTATTAAGTTGACTTTACGTGTTGATTGCTATTACAGTTAGAGTAACTGGTACTAACTTATTTCTTTGTCTAGTACTAATTAGTAATAACTTATTTCATTAAGTCGTCATGAGCGCATCGCGTGTGCTCTTTCATGATAAAAATGGTCGCGCACTCTCGTAACAACGCACTCGTATAACTCGAAGCAATCATAAGTTCAACAACGCCATCATAAGTTCAACAACGCGACCATAAATTCAAGTTCTAACAAAGAGCTCGTAGTGCAGCTTTTGAAGCTAGCTACGCCCCGCGACAGTAGAGTTTATGAGACAAAGTCAGAAAATTGCAGCTAATAGATCATTTTCCTTCCAATTACCCGCTGTACACGGCACAAAGAGCTCATAAAGGACGACATGGGCAGGTATTTGAGTATTCGTGGATGGCTCTCCACCTTCATCAAGAAGGCAAACCGTGTGATTTCATTAGATCCACCAGGAAGTAATTGTGAACACAATTTAATACAGTAAAAGGTTAAAAATAATTATGTAATGTTTTCAGTGGCGACGCACTTCTTAAGCCCATAGTGTTATGAGCTTGAATCTTACTCCGGACGCTCACAACTAAGTTCAAAGTATCCTTCATTTTTGCGGAAAAAATTAAGCGCCACTCTTGCTCTATTATGTACACGATAATTACGAGTGGTTCTATACTAGATGTGTCCTGGCAGACACAGTGCATGGTTTCCGATGTTAATTACCAACATGTAGTATTAGTTTGATGCTTGTTACATGTCCATAAATTGCAGTGACAGTGAAGCCGTTCCAAGTGGGTACTGGCTTCTCCCTCGAGGTCGACAAGCTGCTCGATGCCAAGGACGATGATGATGATGACGATGAACCCTTGCCCCTTCCTGAACCTCCGCCGGACTCAGACGACGAGCAAAAGCCTGGTGCGTTCATTTCATAATTGTATAATCGATGCTATTTCCAAAATCTCCACGTGATGCAGATGGAATAATATTTTTGATTAGTAGCACACTGTTAGAAAAAATTACCGTTAACGTTATTACCGGCGCTTCAGTGACCGGTCGGCACGTGAAAAGAAACACCGTGTCACTGTTTTTATTCTAATTTACCACTATAAATCCGTAAAACATCTGATAAAAACGGCGAAACAGTTTATTTTCACAGGGGACTGGCCACTAGAGCGCCTGTGAGACCGTTTTTTTCACCGTTTTTTCTAACAGTGCACAATGAAAATGTGGGTGTAATTTTTATACTCATCAGAGGACGACACTCCCGAAGAGGACAACTTCGACCCTCCTGCCCCTTTCGTGCCTCCTCCTGCGGAGGATAAGGCGTGGCTGCCTCACGATCCCTCCACCAGGAGCAAGCTGCCCAAGCCATGCCGGATCTCGGACACCGTCGATCTCTACATCGACTCAGTGCGCTTCATGCCGGACTGCGCAAACCTATGCAAAGTGAATTTTTAGATCAAATTTTCATTTAGAGTGCTTAACGCATATCTTTTGCTAATTTCTCTATGCCTTTTACCATCTTTTATTAATTTGTTACACAAATTTACTCTATGTATAACGAAATACAAATAATAACGAACCAACTAGCCAATACAATTCCTTAGTTTTACAGTTCTCCTTGTGCTGTTGATATAAACAAATAATCGAGGCTGACATTCAAAGAGACACTTTACATAATAATAAATTATTTCTAATTCATTGTTAAGATAACTGGCCGCGTGTTCAACATACACTTGGACGATGACGTTAAGTCACCTGAAATTCTCGCCTACCCCAGCCTACTGGGGTCTCTGACGTGCCCGACTTTCAAGTAATGCCTTCACATTTTTTGACCGTCATGATTTTCATAATATAAATACGATTAAAGTGTATAAATAAATTCTGAATATAGGAGTGGGTTTTATTTGTATCACTTGTAAATTAAAAATTATTATAGAATTCTTCTAACGAATTCGAAAGAACGATATATGAAATATCATTCATCGTGGTAGTAGGACAACTAACCAAAATGGTAGTTGTATAGTGAATACAGACATTCGTTTTCTATTCTGAAGGCATGCATTCCAATTTTAAAGTGATTGTGCTAATTATGTAAGAAGATATTAGAGATAATATGTATAACATTTCATCCTATGTGGCCTGCAGTAATCATAATAAATGGAGTACTTTATATTGGTCGAATTCAATAAGTCCCTATTGGCCTTATCACAATATGTTTCATCAGAAATTTTCCGAGCTGAAAAAAGTGCTTTAGGAAACTTTACATACCAATATTTAAAATCGTTATTGTTTAATGCCTTTTAGATAGCCAAATGCATGACCTAACCGTGGGTGTTCAATCACTGTTTAGTCCCTCATTATTGCCCAACAAAACTTCGAATATTGATTCGAATGGTACTTTCATCAGTGTAATACTGATAAGAAAATCTCTTCAGGTATCGTCTGGTACTGAATGAAGACCGCCAGTTCCTGAACCCCGACTTGGTGGTTATGCTTACCCTGCACATCCAGCAAGAGTCAATACGGTAAGAGATGACAACCTTCAGAATGTTCGGTAGTTGTGCTCACTCTCTACATCCAGCAAGAGTCAATACGGTAAGAGATGACAAGCTTTTTTTTTTGACAAGCTTATGAGTGTTCGGTAGTTGTGCTCACCCTGCACTTCCAGCAAGAGTCAATACAGTAAGAGATGACAAGCTTAAGAGTGTTCGGTAGTTATGCTTACCCTACTCATCCAGCAAAAGTCAATACAGTAAGAGATGATGAGTTTACAACTGCATAGTAGTAATGTTTCCGCTGCGCATTAAGCAATGGTCAATACTGCAAGAGTTCATTGCCCTAGTAGTGTTCGGTGATCACTCTTTATATCCATTGCAACAAATTTTTCCCACTAAAACAATTATTTGTGGTTTGTCAGAAACTCTGCGATCGATTGACAAAAATGAATCACACAGAACAAAATTTAGCCCCCAAGCTCATTAATAATAGCAATAGCTCCTTTAATAAGGTCGATGTTCGAAAATGTAATTTTATATTGTCGCTCGGTTGTAAATACAAATGGACTTAATGCAAAATAGACGTACTCATCGATTGCAGGTTGGTGACGCCGCTGGGGTCGTGCCTTGTTTCACTCTTCAACTCTGACCTCGCGGAGCCTCTGCTGTGTGTAGGCGCATATCAGGTAACCGGAAGTTTCAAAAGCGATAATAAGTTTTGAAATTAAATAATTTAAAAATTCAGAAATAATTTCTTCATTCATATTTCTAATTAGAAAATTTTAAAAATTATCTTCATTTATTGAAACACTCCTCATTATTGGTCAGTGTTCAACCAACTTTCGATTTTTATATTTTTTATTTGAGGCTCATGAGAGAAGTTTGGCGCACAATTAGTGTGTTTCACGTTGATGGTGCGTTCATTCTGGTCTGACTAAATATCTGCTATTTAAACTATTGTCAAATATCACCAGCTTATAAAAAGCGTAACTAATTATGAAATTAGGAATTTAAAAGCAAAGAAAACAGCCAGAATATTAACCATTTCTTAAGAATGAAAACGTTTCGGAGTCCAGCTCCATCGTCAGTTCAAAGTTCGGTGTGTTGTAAGCAGCAAAAATGGGTCTAAACTGAAATTTCGAAGCGAAATCTGGCTTATGAATCTTAGGCAAGCCATACAAAATACCTGGGTACACCCTTCTAAATTACAGACCCCTCTAAATTTATCGAAATCACAGATCCAATTGCTAAAACTATTTTGAAGATTGAGGATAAAATTAATAATTTTTTGAGAAAACTTAAAGATTCCGCTGCACTTTCTTCTGAAACTTATTTGAAACTTTATGCCTCTGGCTCTTGCCCAGGTATTTTGCGCGCTGAAATTTATGATGGCGCTGCTTCCTTGCATAATTAAAAAAGTAGAACGGAATTTTTACACCGGAACCTGCAAAAAATCTTGAGTTTTAGTACTTTTTGGCCTTTTTTGTCCGCGAACTTGGCCGATTTTTAGGTCAGTTGGCAACCCTGTTTGGAAGATATATTCTCCAGAACCCCGGTTTTGAGCAATGGAGAGCAGCGGAAGGCATAGTCATAAGTCATCTCATGTCTGATATGCTTATTTCGGTAAAATTTGACGGTTTGGGCATTTTCCAGTAGATTTTGCAATCAAAAATCTAATGTAACCTTAAATATACTGTAAATTTCAATGTAGATAGAAATTGAATTATTGCACCGCAAATTACTAATTTATTAATAAATATTGAAATCTGGCCGTTTCTTGTAAATGTATTAGGCCGTTTTCTTCTCCTATCATACACTGCTGGTCATTTTCTGTTACGCACTAAGCAGTAGTCTCGTGAGTGCCATCTTGTACGGGTGTAAATTGACACTGTTCTCATTTCAATTGTACAATACTGTCGTGTGTAGTGAAGTATAAGCCTATAATATCATCCAGAATGAAAAAGCCCGGTACTTCTAAACATGATATGCACCGCACTCGAAGAAAGACTTCACTAGCAAATGAATATGAAGTTTGCTATATAAGGCTATAACCGACCACTCTTAATGCCGGTAATGATATTCAAGTGCTGCGCAATGGACTGCGGAGTGCGGAGTTTCTCAAGATATCGGCTGTAGGAGAAATTTACTGCTAACGGTATGTGTTTGTTAATTGTTGACCTGTGCATTAAACTATTCGTGTTCATATCATATGTGTTCTAATTTTTAATTTATCGCGATGACTGAAGCGATTAGTGGAACCAAATGTTAAGCATTGTCAACAGTCGATTCTACTGATGAATAGACTCGATTGGTGTTGCGTAGTTAGTTCTGAATTGGCACGCACTACCGGTAAGGCCAAGCGGAAGGTAGTCATCAACAGTTTAGCTTGCAAATAAAACATGATTAACAAGGTTGCAAAGCCTATTTGATAGTAATTTACTTGTTCTTCGCTCGTAATTTTATTCTTCATTTCATGTGTCATCAAATTTGTTTCCGGAGCTACGTCGAAGTATCGTTATGAAAGTATTTATTCAGTTTTAGCAAATTAAGCGTGGATATGCCTCTGCAACTAGAAGTCTGTTTTCATTTCAGTAAGTTAGTTTTGGATAGGCTGCTGTTAGTCTCGCGCATGAGTCATGTGTGCGCTATAAAATTTCGGCCAAATTGTGCCGATGCGGTTGGTAACGCGTTCCGTGCAGACGAAACAGAGCAAAACTATTGAACTACAGACAGCGTTCTCACTCAGGTTATGGAAGGAACGTAATGACATTATAAAACTTTGTCTATTTGTCTAACTAAATGTCTATTTCATGCTCGGTTTGCTCAGAAACGCCTTCGGTACGGTCGGCCCAAGCCTGAAGGTGGCATGACCAAACTCGTGGCTTCGGACATGGATAACAACAAGCCCATACCTGCCCTTACTATCCTGTACAGGATCATGCCTCATACTAAGGTAGGTTTCTTGTCTTCTTGTCTTCGAAATATTGAGGCGAAAGTGAATCATTTTCCTATAGCCTGTTCTTTGTTATTGATTGAGCTAAAATTTCGCTTTCGCTCATGAATTTAAACTCCCGATATTACTGAGTATAAGGAGCGTTAACATAATTCGCATGTTACCAAATTCAAATATTACATAAAATTAAATGACACCTTGATCACTCACCGCAGATGACGTTTTCACTTGCACAGAACGCGTTTCAAAACAAATTATCTTATTAGGAGAGTGTTGTAGGCTAATATCACGCTGCCCAATGAAAACGCCTCAGAAATCGATTTCACTATGCAGGTTTTAACATTAAAAATATGTTCAAAGAAACTTTTATCTGTTAAAAAATAAAGATAATTACTGTTAATTAAAGATTTAATTTTTTTGTCCTAAAATTGGCAGCGCTTGAAAACTTAATTAAGAAATTCAATTATTTGTTCCTGATTGTTAGAATAACAGAAAAAAATGATTTTGTAAGAGATAGATTAACGCGGAAATATTTTTAATGAGCTTTGAATCTTGCTCAGCATTTAGTGCCACCAATGACTTGCCCCCTAGTGTTTTGTGACTTCTCTAATGGCTGTAAAACCTAATTGGACAATGTGCTGTGCCGCATTCGTTATGGTCGTCATTGCCATTATCTATTTAGTATGGACTACGCAATCCAAGTTTATGTCGTTAAGAACGTCATTGCCAGTAACTATTTAGTATGGACTTCGCAATCCAAGTTTATGGTATCAATATCAATAATTATTACATATTTTGTCATTCTACCGCAGGAATATATACCGGCTCCGGCGTACGAGACGGGGGCTTACCGATCCAAAGGATGTCAGCCTACAACCACCGAGCTGGCGCTCATCCACCATTACTGCTACCACCCTGAATATGAGTGCGTGTCCGGTAGAACTAAATCTATAATTCTATTATCTGCAGTCTTTCTGTCGCTCAAATTGACGCAAAATTAATAAATCGTGTTATAACCCTCTTAAAATTAAAGTATTCAGCTAATTTCACAAATTGATTGATTTAATTTATTGACAAAACTTACATTGGGTTGCATAAAATATTCATTGCGCAGGACCTCGACAATGCAAGACCGAGCTGAGGCGCTTATGACAGCGGAGAAGGAAAGCGGCGTCGGCGATCTAAAGAAAGTTGAGGTCCGTTGCGAATTTTCCTGATGAGTAGTGACAAAATTTCATGGAAATCTAACTTAGCAACGTTCCGAAATTCAATGTTCAAAGTACTCAATCAGAAGTAGAGTGAAATTCAATTATATTTCAGCTCAAGTCTGAGATTCCCTCGTTTAGTTGTCTAATGATTATTAATGCCTATTTTTATATTTATATTTTTAACTGGCATTAATTACTATGAAAATTGCATCCCGCAGAGAATTATTAAATTGTACTGCCTTTCAATTTCATATAAAGATATTAATTTGTCTGTGATGATTGAACAATATATATTTTATGGTCAGTGCTCCAAGGACTTCAAGCCTAAATTTTAGTTCATATGAGTCCGATTAAAGTAAAACACCTCCATGTTTACATGCAGCTTTCTCTAAATATGTCACTTCTCTCGTAAACGAATGGGCTAAATTTATTGGTAAAATAGATTTTATTAGCACGATTAAAATTGCTATGATGTTCAATTCGATTTAATTCGAGGAGATTTTCGCGCCTACTCTCCCTTGTATTAGAGTTACCATTAATAATGCATGTTCCCGCCTAAAAATCTGTGCCGTATCAGCTCATTTCGTCTCCAATGAATTTTCTACGGTAATAACTTCTCTCATTCAAAACGTCCGATTACTTGTTTGTTTCCAATATTAACTTAGCTATTTCCCTTACGAAGATAATTCAATGCCCCACGTTTTTTACGCTCAAGCACCTCAGTAAAATATTTTTAAGAAAAAAATTAAGTATTTCTCAATTTTGCTTTTTAATGATGGTTCACGTTGCTCAGGCGTACTTCAAAAAGAAACTTCAGAACAAAATTCCGAAAGGCAAAACTCTGCCCCCTGAGACTGACTTCGCCCACTTCACCGAATACAACATCGCTCAAGGCTTCAAAGTTGACGTGCAAGGCGCCTTTAACTTACCGGGTGAATTAAACTCGTGCAAGTTCATTAAAATTTTCTGATAGATGGATTTTTTTCCGCGCTCTGCATATTACTTTAAACACGTTTGAACATCAACAGCTTAATATTTGATTTTTCTGTGTGATTCGCATAGGCAGTGTGAATGAGAACATAGATTAACCTAAGAAAAATACAAGGTGATTTTGTTGGCAATCGTTTTTTTTCGATAGATAACTAAAGTTGTTACTGTGTGTTGTAGATAGGGTTATTGTCACACATTGTCATGTGCATTACCTATATTTTTGTATTTATTACCCTCTTAAAGCACGTCACAGCTCTGAGATGCACTTTTGATCATATTGCTCTTATCGAGGATTAATAAGTATATAATAAAAGTATTAAGCTGGCTATAAAGAATATTTCGTATTATGAAATTATTGAAAATAGTTGAAAATAAATCAGAAAATAATATTCAAATAAATAATTACAGAAGCATTTGAAGGCTACTACATCCTGGCCTATGCTGAGGTCATCGACAGCGAAGAGGGCGAGGCAGAGCGGGAGAAAGAAGAAGAGAAAAAGAAGAAGGTCACAGACAAGAAGAAGGCAGCACAGAAGGACTTCGTCTGGATAGACGAGTACCCACCAGGGGAGCAGCGTATGATGACCAGCAGGCTGGACACCAAGAGCAGTCCACGAGCTCCTCAATGGCTCGACGAACACGTCGCTGTGAGTTCATAATAGCGGTCTCAGCGTTTAGTAGGCCGTAGGCCTGTCGCCGATTCTTAACATCGCAGAACATTCACAGCATTTTGCGGTCTCGAACTCGCAAATCACTGCTCCAATTCTGCTTTGCTTGACCGCCCGGCCTCCATGCCGATTCTGACCAGAAACTGACGCACAGAGCTGGGATCGAACCCGCACCTTTCTGCTCCAATTTTGGTACTCTGAACTTTAACCACTGGGTCCCCATTGGGCCATATCACATGAAACATAAAATCTTCGTTAGAAAAAAAATATTAATCCTCCAGGCTAATGACGTTGAAAAAAACGTTGATTATTAGAATTTCTAAATGATATAAATAATAACAAAATATGTGAGTAATAATTATATCATTTTTTCTCATATCGAAAGTTCATCAAGAATTTAATAGCTTAGAGGATGCCAAGTAAATTCACCGTATCTTCATTGAAAACGTTTCGGGAAACAACTCCATAATCAGTTTGCAACTTTTTGTTTACTTCTATAGAATACAAGAACTATTGTCAGTCAAAATCTAAACATACACGAAAGAGATTGAAACAATGGAACAATGAACCGATAGATTTACAATTTCAAGAGGATATGAGCTGCTTTATGTTCGCATCGGCGCCCGTCTGAATGACGTCGCGTAACTACATCCGTATTTCTGAAGATTTTTGTTCCGATGTCGTTTTCTCGTTCCTTAGGATTTAGTCTCTTACGTATACACTTAGATTTTACAACACTTCTCTTTAACTTCACTTCTTGTTTGTCTGTCTGTCTGCTACAAATCTTATAATCGATTTTTAACACAATTCTACCTCTCCAATCGATCTGAAATTTTGCACATTGAGTAAAGTTGGAGTCATTGCATGAATCAATTGACAGAATAAATAATTTTGAAAATTTAATTTCTTTATGTATTAAAATTATTAAAAAATTAATTTTTTAATATTCGAAATTAAAATTAGAAATTTATTGTACATGTTTTACATTGGAGACACTGGATTTTTTAGAAGTGTTGTCTTTAAAAAGTAATTTTTAAACGTATATTACTCACTGATGATCTGGTATTCTATAGAGCCTTCTAAATTGATGATGGAGCTGGTCATCAAAATGCTTTCGACGAAGATATACTTAGTGAATTTACTTGGCGATTGCTTTGTTTTCGAATTTTTGTATGATATATGTTTTACTCTACGATTCATCAACGCTGAAATTTCCGTCACTGACGCGGATTACATTTAATATTTTATTACGGGTATTCCTTTACGGGACCGTGATAGCGTCGCGCCCACACGGTCACATTGACGATTCACTCCATCGCCAATTCGTCTTCATTTACTTGCGACGCTTCGGTGCATTTTTTCACATGGCACATACTATGAGTGTGGGTAAGGAAATAATCTGAAATAACTTACGATAATTTCTATTGTATTTTCTCAGAGTCTGTACCCTCCATTATCTTCCATGAGCGTCCTGATCGTGAGGTTGTTTGGGGTGCAGCTCGAATACAGTCCTGGCAACGGATCTAAACCCGGCACCATCTCTGGCTTAGGCGGCAGCCCCATCGCCTTAAACTACAAGAACCCTTTGTGTTGGGGAGCTGTCCAGCTCTTCGGCAGGTGAGGACCTGACAACAGCCAAATAATTATATTTAATCTTGGAATGCATTATTATTGAAAATGTAATCTCGCTTTAAACTTATTTTATTAACAAAATAATAAAAATGCAAGCTAGCGTCACAGAAGACGTCATATCATTGAACCGTAAACTAGCGTACAATTTTGTGAGTAAAGACAATATTGAGGTAGTTATGCTCTCTGGTTTCCAACAGGTCGCGTAAAAAATAATTGAAATAATATTATTCTGGTCTTTTGCAGAGGCACAGTTCTGTGCGGCAGCCACTTCGTGCCACTGTTCCAGGGAGGGCCACCGCCCATGGTGCTCGCCATGTTCAGACGGGAGCGCACGGTCGCCGTCCTGGAAACTGCCATCAAGAAGAAATACTGCAAGTTGCTGGTGATGCATTCATACTAACCTCTATGTTAATACGTTCAACTGATATTGTATAGTTGCGATACCAAGCGCATTTTCTATTTTGGTGAACTGTGTACTGATCTGCTCAGACAACTAGACCATGTTGTTCTTACGGGAAACAAACTTGGTTGCTTGTTCAGAGTGAACTGTTCGAAGAGACCCACTTTTAACAGTGCTTCACTGTTCAGATAAGACGTTCAAATATTGCAGATAACATTTTAATAACATTGATATCAATTCTATGATTGACCTTGAATTTTACAATTTTATCCCAGCGAATTTAACCGATCCCAGGGATCGGACCATTTCTCGACTTAGTGCTAGTTAACCGATTTAGAATACTCTATCGAAAATATTTTTCAAATGCTTGTGCAAGTTAAACGAGAATTAATTTATGCCCGTTTGACAGCCTGGCGCGTCGCTGGAAGTGCGTTTATGGGACGGCAAGATAGAAGACTTCACTGAGCTACCCGAGTGCTGGCACAAGCATCTGCTGACTGCCCTCAAGATGGAAGACAAGGCCCTTGAGGGCAGAGAAGCCCGCTTCACACCTACCTACGAAAAGGTAACTCCATTAAGCAAAAGCGCTCATTTCCGTGCTTGGTATGCATTGCGATATATCTCAGTTGACAAGGTTATGTTGTTTACAGATTTTTCTACAGGTCTGCATTATCGTGTGAACCTTTAAAAGTAACTGTGACCGTTTTTCATAATACTCGGTGAAATCAAGTCAGGCCGGTTAATTTTAGTCGGTGTCAATTGAGTGCCTTGTAAACTTTGGGACAAATATGTATCTTGTTTTTAGCTATGGAATTAGCAGACGATAACTTGACAACTTTTCAAAATTTGATTTTTTTTGTATTAACTTGATTCAAAATTCCGTATCGCAGTTTTACACCAAAGGGTTGAAGGAGGTCGAGCGTCACGATCTCACCAGGGTGCTCGCGGAGAGCGAATTCTTCCGCCAAGCCGCCAACATCGAGTTCGGCAAGGCGCTGGTAATTGAATTCAGTAAATTGCGAATATCTGGGCGACAGTGGTACAGTAATGAAGTGCATGGCGACCATGATGTGATATAAACGTGAACTTGGATTTCTGTGTTCGCGGCAAGAAAATACTAAATTATTTCTGAGGTCAGTCATCTCAGCTTCTTTTGTATGCAAAGTTATTGTTATCAGATGTTCTGTTCTTTGTTTTAAGTAAAAAGTTTAGTATAGTTTGAGTTTAGAGAGATGAAAGTTGTCGATACATGGCTGCAATCATGGCGATTTTAACCACTCACCATCCCTGAGCTTCCACGAAAAAAACATACGGAGCAGACATTCTTTTGGTGGTATATTACTGTATTTCCTGATAAAACAGCGTATTGATAGGAATCGCATAAGCTCGGCACCAGAACACCAGTAAAGTCTGTTTTTAAACGTCTTCGAAAGGAATTATGATCTGAGCAAGAGTTCGGAAGGAAAGAAGCAGTATTCCTTCCAGTATCAAGTATGAAAGATTTCTTCAATCGAGAAGAGTACACGTATTTAAATTGCAAACCAATTTTTGATATTTGTTTTCAGAACAAAGCTCTGGTGACAGCGGGCAAGGAACCTATGCCGCCCCTTCCGGTCTTCGTGCCCTGAACTTCCTTGCGGATCGGAGCCTGAAGAAACGCGTGCGCGTAGGTCGACCACAGCCACTTTACGGAACCTTAACTGTATCGAGAAGCTCACGGAAGCCCTACGTCATTGCTATTTGCTCTAGACAGGTTAACTTACAACCTGAAATTCCACTCTTCAGAACCTAAAAGCTCTAGCCGCCAGGGGATTATTAAGAATATGACCGGGCAGCTAGATTTAATTACGAGCGTGAACTCAGTCCACTATCCGCGTAATCTAGCAAAAGATTCGTCCGTTAGTCAAGCATGTTCCTAACATAACAAATTCTGAACATATTTCTTTCGAACTGAAGGTATAGCCCTAAAATGTACTGACTAAGTAGTGAAGAAATTTTTTGGAACTTTAAAACACTACCTTTATTCTCCCGTGAATCTCTCCATTCGATCGCTTCATGGAAGTTCTCGAACGATTTAGCCGATCGAAGTTCTCGAACATCGGCTGCATGAAATGAGTATCAAATCAAACTCGTTTCATGAACTTAAATTCTGACTTCCTCCATCCCGTCAGGGCTGGGACACGATTCGAGCTTCTCGACTTTAATGCTGCAGCAAAAATTTTCACTGTATGTTTATTGCAAAAAATATTGATTATCGTACAAAATGAGTAGAAGACAACCATCAAATTTCAAACCAAGGCATCTAATAGAATTTAATACATAATTTCTTAACATAAATAATACTTGGTATACGACAGAACGGAAGACAACAAAATAAGGATATCAGTTCGTTGCTCCCATTCGCTCAGTGGAATGACACAGTAACTCTGATAAGCGCCTTGCTTCTATCCGTTCTCAAATTTTGTATTCAAACAAGATCTGGAAATTATGAAGAGTGAACAAATTGTTATTCTTTAAGTATTGCCACAAGCTGCAATATTTACTTGCCGTTATCAGATTGCATAAGTACAATTGTGCCTAAACTCGGTGCGATTACAATACAGTAAAATTATGCAGCCTGACATGTCTAAAGGAGTAGATTTGTGTTAATATCCTCACCGCAGCACGGAGATATTGGGCAAAACCTCACGCGCATGAAATGAAAATCTCCACCAACGTCGTGAAATCTAACACCGCGACCATCTAAGTAGTAGTAGTAGTATGATGGTTTGCTAGCGCTTCAGCTATCAAGCTATTTCGCACCGAAGGTGAAAATATAACATCGCCAGCAAGGCGGAAGGTCTCAATTATTCAAAATGTAAAGTTAATCATCACCCACAAGGGGCGGAAGGTCACCGCTGTCCAGCCCGCTGAAGCTGGCTCGAAGGAAGCAGCGTTAGCATCTCAAAGAGACGAAGTGACAAGGAGGGACAGGTGAAAAGTAACAGAAACGAAGACACTCGAGCAAGAGGTCGCTTACACGGGACGTCGGCCGTCCGCACGAGAGAGACAGAGAAGGTAAATGTAAGGAATCCTACCTACATAATAACTTAATGTAGGGAATCCTTCCTACATAATAACTTAACCCCACAACTGAGACCTGCAGTCACACACCGCGAGCTCAGCGGTGGGGCGCTCAGGAACAATCCCCTTAGGAACGCAACATCCTATAGGAGTTCTAACGCGCACAGACACGCGTCAGAAGTCCCCCCTGAGGGGGCGACCATCTAACACGAAATACCTCTTACATAGGAAATGATAGGTTACTATTATTATGCAGCAAACATCACAACAGTTATCGAACATGCGACTGTCCAGCATTCTATTTCACAATAAAATGTTAGCTGTGAATGAAATGAATTACATTGCTGTCGTTTAGCATAATTGCCGAAGTATAACGAAGTTAGTGAATAAACTCGGAATGTTATTTTGATTTTAAGCCCCCATTGCTAGAATAATTAGGTGGCACCGATGATAATAATATAATTTTCATACAACTGACTTCGACTTAAGGTGTATCCGCCCTGACTCTACAGAAATGGTACAAGAGGTTTGATTCAAATCGGTTAGGTTTAACTTGAAAGTTCCAAAAAAAGCAGCAAATTACGTTCTAGTTTACAGATACAGGTCATTTGCATGTTGGCACGGTTAAAATATTACAACAATGGCAAATGCAAAAAAGTTCTTGAATGAATGAGCTTCACGCAGTCACTAAGCAGCAAACCTATCGGTCACGTTTTATCAACGTGAATTTGAATATAACCCTCTACCGTCCGACATGAGTAACCAGAGCAATATTGTCATGAGCCTATTTCCCAAAAGGCTATGTTCTAGTGATCGCAAAATGACTTGCACTGATGGTTGCCGCCACGTACGACAACTTTAAAATGTTCTCTGTTGAGTACAAACGTCCTCAGGTTGCTACACTCAATAATTCAAGTATAATTTAATTTGAAAGTTATGTTCCCAAAGAGTGACGCACAGCGGAGAGGCTTAACGAATAATTTCACGTCAACGTCACTTGACTTACTCAATAAAACTTGATGAGAAAATTGCACAAATTTTCACCAAATGGACTCAAATCAGAAGCATATGACATCCAAATACCTCAAAACACAACAATGTAATGTAATCTATAACAAATAATAAATATTATTCTACACTTAATTGAAAATAAATACCTACAAGTTGCCATCCATAACAAAAAGCCGGGCTGATAGTGATTTGATAGGCATAGTGATAGTGCCGGGCTAAGGGTTTGCGTTCAAAAAGAGCTACCAAACAACCAACCCTAAGTCTACCTTCAGATGTTGCCAAACCGCAAATAGTACTAAAAATCTCCCACAGACATTCAGGGTTAAACATTGTCAAAACAAATAAAAACTGGCAGAGGAGTAAGAAGTCTCGTGTAAGAAAATAGCATAGAAAAACCAAAGAAGTCCTGTGGATGCAGAATATCTAGCGACTTGTGCAGCAATTATACACGTTACGCAGCTTGATAAACCTCTAGCAGCTATTCATTTCACTATGTCCCGCAGGACATTTTTTTGCAGCGGTGGAATACCTGCCTCTTCTGCTGGCATGCACTGGAGTAACACGAGTTCAACAGAGCCAAATAGAGCAGTGCCCTCGTAATTCACTTGAATATTTCACGTATATATCTTGGCAAAATTATGGACGAAAAATCGAATATTGATTTCTATCGTTCCGATAAGCCACATCTTACATAATCGAAAGCCTATAATAATATATACAACTATCACTTCAGGAAGTATATAATCCTATCTCTGTAGCAATTACCCAGAGATTTCAGAGTCTTGCTAATAACAATTACTTTGATAGAGAGGCCATAAATAAAGCCAACGTGATAAACAATAGGAACCCAATTTAAAATAATGGACGGCAATTGCCGTTTCGACATCTCTAGTTATAAAAAAAATACTCATTACCACGCAAACGAAAGAGGCACAATCACTCCTTTGAAATAAACATTTTGCCATCAGTGTTCTCATTACTTAGACCATCTGTTACTTGAATAATAAACTTATTAAACTATAACCCTGCCTTCAGTCCCATCCTGCACATCGTGAATACTAAGCATTTAAAATCAACGCAATTTCAGACTGAATTCAGAAGTAAAATTTTGTTGCAGGCACGCATATAATCGCACGAAACAAATACAATAAAAAGCTTTGCTTACAGTCAGTCACATGGAAAACGAGTGAGGCTGGATACCTTCTAATATTTAATATCTCATTATCTTCCAATATTTCATCACAAATTACTCAAGGAACAAATTACTCAAGGACCCAAGTGGACAACTACAAGCTCTTCATGGTGGCCATGAGTTCCTCGAGTGTCACGTCAGGAGCGGGTGGCGCCGAGCTGCCAACGGCGCCTCTGTTGTCGCTGTCGTCTTCGGCACCGTCAGCAGCGGGGCGGTCGTATGCCACCCTGATACCCGGGGCCAGGCCCCCCACTACCGCACCGGGGGGCGTCACTGGCGAGGTGCCACCGGCCGGGTCCGTGCGAGGCTCCGTTGGGGTTTCGTCCACTAGACAGATGCCTGCAAACATCAGCATGAGTGCAGAGAGCGAAGCAGAAAAATAGGTAGACGAGGAACAAAAATATTTTATTAAGAAGTTGAGTAATGTTCTAAGGTTTTCGAGAATATAAGAAAATTTTTCTAGTTAATGAGTATGGGCTGCACTTCAAACAATCTCTATCAAAAAACACATCCATGAGAAAATTGGTCCTCATGCTTGAATAGAAACCATTGGAAACAAACCAGTATAATAGAAACTACCATTACAAACCAAGCAAAAACAAATAATATAGACATGAATGTTTTGTAAGAGGCATGTTAAAAATAAATTGTAAGAGGCATGTTTAAAAAAAAAGTCTGATTGCTAGGCACTACAGGGAAATATTCCATCTGCAAGCAAAAATATTTCGCACGGACTTGGTACCAAAATTATTCACTACTTTTATTTATTTCAATTAGATACTCGTGCTGTTAATAGTCAGAGTGAAGGATAACTTAACCTAAACCTTAAAACTTGCAGGGATAATCTACGTATCTCTGCAAAACCCTGTAGCGAAAAATCATTTCAACTCTAATTTGTAAATGTAATCCTCAGCCTACCAGCCCGGAATGGGCAGTACCCGGTATTAATGCTTTTTGTCTATTGTTCCACGTGTTTTCTGGCAGCCCTGCGCTCAGTGAACAGAGTGGAAAAAAGCTGTTATCTTACCCCATGAGTTATCCTCATGGGTGACAGCCTCCTCCTGCTGCTGTGGCTGAGGAGCAGCAGTTGCTGCTTGAGTAGCACGCACAGCCTCAGCAGCAGCATACTCCTGCTGCCGTCTGCGACACCAGTTATCCTCGCACGTGGGGTTAGGGCGCACTACCATCGAAGGGAAGTAATCTAGCAGCGCGTTGTAGCCGAGATACGAGCTCACAACGCCAAATTTTAGTAAATATCTGGGGAGTAAGATTGTGCTCAGTGAGGATCATGCAAAGCACAAAAATGTCTGTATTGTCATTTCAGATGTGCAATTTTGCCAACTGCTCTTGGATTTGAAGCTTATTAGTAAAATGGTAAATTTATGACAATTTTTCTCAAATATTAGACATTAATCTCGTTTGATAATTTAAAAACAATGAATGAATAATCTAGTAAAAAATATAGCAACAATCTGGCGTCTCTCACTTGAGGACATTCTGCACGAGGAGCCCAGCGACTATGCCCATGGTAGTGGGAAGTGAGGCGGCACAGACGCCGTCCTTCTTGAGTGTGCGCTCATCGATCTGACTGGCCACAACCAGAGGCGGTGCGCAGTCAAAGCAGGCCGTCTCACCCGGCACCAGAAACTGGATGTGGCCGCTCACTGCGTTCTCCGACACTCCGGATTCAAACCACGTCTGGTTAAGCTCATTGCATGCGCGGTTTACGGCCATGCGAGCCTCGTAGTTGTCCACGCAGCTCAGCACAATGTCCACCGGTCCTTCTGTTAGGCTGCCCTTGCTGTTGGGTCAACGGGAATGTCAGAGTAGTCATGGACAACCAATTTAATGACAAGCAGGGACTGAGGAAAGCCTTCATGGGAAACAGAATGGTATTGCTTATAATAACACCGACTTTTCTGAGAATAAAGTAGCACATTGCTTTGATATATGCCAGCTCTCGAAACAAACCTGTATGATGGGAAGTCTGTCTTTTGATAACACTTTACATTGTATATTTACTACAAGCACTATATCAAACATTAACCTGACTTATTCATGTACTTTTCATACAATATCACGACGTTATTAGACTCACGATATCCTGTTCATAAAATGATCAAAGTTGTCGACGGTGGTGATGTTGTAGTTGTGCACCTCAAACTGTACATCAGGATTGATGGCCAAAAGCGTACCAGCAGCAGCCTCCACTTTGCTCTGGCCTGCTTGGTGTGGCTGGAAGAATAGCCTATTCATGTTGGCGAGCTCCACCTTGTCGTAGTCAAACAACAGCAGCTGTGGGAAAATGATTTGTCCAATTTACAGTAATGGCTGCATTAAATACAGTTAAATTAGACAAAATGAACAATAGTTAAAAAATTTCAATCAAGTAACAAAATGTCAGCAGTCTGCTTGCTCTTTGTGCAAGGGAAATGATCATTGTCAATGATCACATGTTTATTGCAGAACCATTTTTCACATCCTGGCCACTAAGTTAGGTTTCGATAGAAGACTTATGGCCACCATATTATTTAGAATGCTAACTATGGACAACTAAAATGATACTGTAAAAAGGTCAGCAATAAAATGCACTCCAGTTATCAGTTTCAGAAAAAAAATTGTAGAGTATAACAAAAGTTGAATGCAAAGGGGAGGTTGTTAACTATAGGGATGGCAGTTACACATTAAATATCTGATAAATATATGCATTCAACATCACTCTAATTGCTCTTTCCAGGTTATGGTTCTGAATGCATCACATGGGAAAATCAAGGAACAATGCAAAACTTTTATATATATCTCTATATACTAGTGTTGTTAGGCAGAAGTTCTTCATTTATGCAGGTTTTGCAAACATAACTTTTGACACAGAAATCTAAAATTCCTAAGCAAATCAAAACCTAAAAAATATGACTCAGTACTCACTGCAGTGAGTGACAGAGAGCGCATTTTCTCGTCGACAAAAACGTGAAGTCACGGACGGATAGACGGACATGGCGAGTACAATCGTGAATTTTTTCCATAAATGAGAAAATGCGCTAAAAATGAATCCACATCAAAAAATTGCACCACCAGAATTTATTATCAAAACCAGGTGAGCAGCTGTTATAAGACAGATGAAAGAGTCCACCATCAGCTGCACAACAGTAACTACAGAAATAAAACTCCTAATTTACTACAAAAACAAAAAAATTAACAATTCAATCATGATAAATGAACCATGTAAAAATTTGGGACTACAGCAAGAAACCAATGTTATTTACAAATTCTCCTGCATGACAGGTTGTGGACTTCTCCAAAATGTAAATTACTTTGGTTTGACCAGTACAAACCTGAGCAGCCAACTCACATGCCACCTACAAACTGGAGGACCAAAGAACCATATGAGGGAGGCTCACAACAAAACCATGACCCATTGGAAGCCTGCAGCATCATCATCATCATGCGGTGCCCTTATACTACCAAGACTGGCAATAACAGAGGCTCACATCATCAAGGATGAGTCCCCAGCTTTCAATTTGCAAACCACTGGATTTGTCAAGACATTGAGGTTGTTCTCAGAATATTTTCAAGTTTTGATTTCGAAACGCTACCTACAATACCTTTATATGCACTTGTGTCATTTCTAAATTTAAAATTTTGAGTGTTATAAAACTCAACACCTAATTGATAATGAATATTGAATATCTGAAAGTCCTAATCTGGTAAAATGTCATTTGGTAACCTGCCTTTTGATCTAACACTAGCAAGAAATTTGGTTCAGCTTATTGAAAAAAATTTTTTAATAAAAAGCATGCTCTGGTCATCAATCAAACCTGCATTTATATAGGTATGTGTTGTACTGACTTTACTCAATACAAACTGCGTACAAATTACATTTAGGAAATAAAATAAATGAAAAGATAGATTACTTCATGGTTATCCAAGTGAGCATGACACAAACACAAAAGTTTCTGAAACAAGATATATTACAATAAAAAACAAAATATTCATCAACCCTAAAGTTGGTGTTCTGATCCTGACCTTGCCAATGCCACACCGAGTGAGCATCTCAGCAGTTACACTGCCTACACCACCAACCCCCACCACAGCCACAGTGTAGTCTCTGATCTTCTCGTAGTTCTCAACAATGCCCATGCGCTTCAGAGCCATCAGCCGACTGAAATTTTGCAATAATTATAGTTATCATCAAGCCAACAAGAGTGCAGGGAAAGGCAAAGTTGAGAAAAAATATAAACCTACAGTATAAGCAAATTAACACGTGGCTTTGACTGGAAAATTTTAATAAGATCTTCACAAAAACACTTGAAATGAAAAAAAAAAACATTTCTTAATAGTAAATCAAATAGGTTCAAATCTAAAAGTTCTAGAAGTTGGAAAGGCAACTTTGAGAAAAGCATATTCATGTTTTAATATATATAGGTATATATAAATCTCGATATACATATAGGTATATTGGAAGTTTTTATCAATAAAAACATGATTGGGTCTTCAATTAAATTTACATATAATATATACAGATATATGTATATACCTTTATGATCACGCCAGTTTTCTCCCATATTCCAAAAAGTAACATAAAAGACTGACCTGTAAGGGTTACTGTCAACCACTTCAGAGGACATCTCTGCAATCTTCTCCCTTTTTTTAAAGGAATCATTTCTTTCTTTTTCTTGTTGAAGTTCTTTTTCTAATGAGGCTATCTTCTCTCTCAGATTTTCTAATGACTCAGTCATTGTGTTCAGATGAAATATAACATTAGCTTTCCAAGATCAATGCACAACTGAAAAAAAATGTAAATAGCTTAAAACTTTATTCATAATGAAACAGTGATTCTATAATATACCCTACTTCAACTTGTTTCTTATCCTAAATTTCATTATCATTGAAAAATCAATCAAATCCTTTTTTTAATTTAAGCATATCTTGTGTATTTTATGTAGGTATACCCAGCTGCTGTAGGTATACCCAGCTGATCAGCCATTTTAACCCTTTACGCCCTGAATTTCTGGGATGAAAATCGTAAAATTCACTTTTTCGGTTTTAAGTCTCACTTCAAAGCTGACATTCTGACCTATCCAACGTTGTGAATTTTTCGAAAAAATGACAGAAAACGTGAAATTGTTGGAAAACCAAAGTTTTTTTCTGTGTGACGAATTCGTCACGCCAGGGCGTAAAGGGATAATGCATAAAGGGTACAGCAAAATTAATAATTTCACCATCCTCAAAATACCATTGCAAGCCATTTGTGGCTTGCCACATGCATGGAAAACATCTACTTTTCAAGCAGAGACTATGCAGATGCTGCACTTGACACTTTGACTTACTCACTGCTTGTAAGTAAAAATCATATATATATTTAATACTGGTCAGAACTATGATTTGCAAGGTTTCAAAACCACATGACTAAGATGCTGCTTTGGATGAGCTAGAAAGGCATGGTTCAGTTTTGTTTACAAAAAAGATTATATCATTTGAAGACTTACCTACCATGGCTTGCAAGAATTATGCCTTGAAAAACAAAAACCGTATTTCCCAGTAACATGCACAATCATCAAACACAGCATGGCCAGCAAATCATAATTCTGACCACTAGTCTATAATTTTTAGTGACAAGCAGCAAGCCTGAGCATGGAGCCAGGATGTAGACTGCAGCTGGAGGATGCGTATTCAAAGATCTTGGGCAATAAATCAGCATCAAAATTCAAAATCCATGTCTTCAAAAGATTGTTCCAAACTTCCAAGACCTCTCTCTTTGAATACAACTTTAAACAATTTACATATATTTTTGGCATTAAATCTTAGAGGCTTAGGTTGTTCAGGCAATAAAGATTTCATAACACAGAAAAATGGCTCACTGGCAAAACCTGTTGCTAATTTATTCAACTGTGCAGAGTGGAGCAGGGTGGCTGCAGCCTAAACAACTAAAACAAGGTAAGTACAGAATCTGCAGAGTGCAGAGCATAGCCATGTGATAGTGGCCCTTAATCTCTGCCGGCCTCCGATCTCTGCCGTGTCTATGTCATGGGGGTACCCTGGCCTGCGTGTCAACCAGATGCCAGGCATACTCGTGGGTCAGGCCAAATGGCAGGGGCCCTTGCATCCTGATCGCTGCCAGACAGAGGCTCCTTTCTTCATTTTTTCACCTAAGGGTAGAGGAACTTTGGCCTCCCTTCCCCCAACCCACCTTTTTCTGCCTATTTTTCCTGGGGCACCTTATGCCCTTCTCTCCTCTCACATTTACTTCCTACTCGTCCTTCATCTGACCCAGGGTATCCATCCCAACCCCAGCCTGCACACCTGCTCCCTTCCAGTTACATGGCAAGGATATTTGTTCCTGTGCTCCAGGTGCAATGCCTGCACCCACAAGCAATGCTCCAGCCTGCTCTCCATTCATCTCTACTCCAAAGACTGGATCTGCCCTACGTGCAGACGGTCTGACCTGATCCCAGCCAGACTCCATCCCTCTTAATGGCTACCCTCTTTGCATTATCAATGTTTACATTCCACTGGCCTCCTCCTGCCTCCCGGGATATTCCCCGGAGCTCTCAGACATTGTATCCATCCTGGGCGACTGTCTGATAGTGGGCAATTTTAATGCCCATCATTCCTCCTGGTTCTCCCATAAGGAAGACCAGAGAGCGGCAGCATGAGGAACCATAGTCGATGACCTCGTCGCTAGTTCCTCCCTTGCATACCTCAATGAGGACTCCCATAACTGCCTCCCCTCTCATGGCCTGCCCTCCTCACCGGACCTCACAATCATCAGCAGTCATCTACTCCTCAACACCTCCTGGACTCAAGTTGCTCTCAACTCCAACCACCTGCCCATCCTGATTCATTTCCCTTCCTCTGCCCACTCCCAACCCCCTGGGTTGCCTGCTCTTATGTAAACTTTGAAAAAGCTGACTGGCCCGCCTACACGGCGGCCATCAAAGCAGCACTCAAGATGGTCCCTCCCCCCACCTTGTGTGGCAGTGAGTTGACCTTGAGAGGAGTCTTGATCATGACTTGATGGCTTGCCAGACAGCATATCCCTGCCGGATTCTGGAAGGACTTGTCTCCCTCTTGTCAATCCTGGCACCCGGTTGCTCATCAAGCAGCGGATGACATCAGGGCGGGTAACCCAACCGACCCTTGGCTCCCAGAACTAAACCTGAAAATTAGTATTTCCATTCAGGCCCATGCTAGGAACACATGGTGAACATATCTTGCATCATGCAGCAGGTGCACCAGTCTAAGCACTGGAATCTCCTTCACTCCCTAGACAGAAAGCAAAACCACCTGCCCTCCAATCAGTCAATCCAATTTGGCCTGAATTCCCTCTCTTCCCAGTGCAAGATCTCCTCCGCCTTCTGCAAGCAATTTAATTCGATTGCTCCTCACTCTCAAAGCCCCTCCACCTGCCACCTCATGTCAAATCTGGGCTGAACATCCCTTGATAGGGACTTCTCCCCTTTCACACCCAACATGGTGAAGCTTGCCATTGCAGCCACCAACAACTCTTCCGCTTGAGCTCCAGACGGCCTCATGGTCCTTCACCTCAAGCACCCCGGCCCACGTGGTCTCCAGTTCCTCACCCGTATTTTTTACATCTCTGTCTCCACAGCCTCTATCCCATCCATTTGGAAAAATTCAATAATTATTCCAATCCTCAAACCAGGCAAACCCAGAAACCAGGGCTCTTCAATCTTCATACCACCCCTAAAATACCACCCAATCTTCATACCACCCTCCCTCCTCTGCCCTGCAGCCAAGATCCTAGAGAGTCTTGTGCTCCCATAAGTCTTAGGATCCCTCACCACCATTCCCCCCGCAACATGGTTTCAACCCGGGACACTCCACAGTCACTGCCCTCTTTCCGCTTGCACACCAGATCAAAACGGGTTTTAATTCTTGGTGCCCTCCACCTTGCACTTGCACAGTCACTGCTGCAGTTGACCTCTCAAAGGCTTTCAACAGTGTTGACCACCCTCTCCTTCTAAGCATGATCGCTAGCTGTGCTGCTCCTTCAGAGGCAGGCAGGCAGGCATCTTGCCACTACCCAAGAACACAATCGCCTTTCAGAGCTATTCACTCAGACATTCCCCAAGCCCCAAGGCTTGGGCATCTTGCCAGGCTGCCAGCCCTCTTTAACCAGGGCCCTGGCCACCACCTGAGCTTCCCCCCCCCGGGCCCCCGCCCCCGGCAAGCATAACTGACGCAATGAACAACAACAACAACAAAATAGTGGCAAGCCAGAATTTTTTTGGAATCAGTTCATTGCTATCCTAATTCCTATGTTAGTATGTCTGTAACATATGTTAAATTGTTAATCAGTTAATGCTAGTACCCATGAAAATCCATGATACTTTGCTGGTCAATTTATAGTAGTTATAGGACTGAGGACTCAAAGTTAAGTCAAAGTGAACATGACTTGAGGAAGAGTCTAACTGTCTAAAACTCTCTGCTTTGCCAGTGCCATGGTGGCAAACCAGAGATTTTTTAGAATCAGTTCATTTTTAATTTCCTCAATTACTCAATATTTAAATCAATTTCTTATATATGATAATGCTGGTATCCATGATACTTTACTCTTTACTGGTCTACTTATAGTAATCAAAGTTGAACTTGTGGAAGTCTAAAAAACTCTCTGCTATGCCACTATGTTTGCCGGCACTATGCGTGGGTGGGTCGTGGCCTCGTGGGCATGGTGGCAATCCATAGGTTATTCAAAAGAACCTGTTCTTATGTCATTTTGAACCGATCAACGCTTCTTTACGGACCGATCGTAAAACACCTTCACCGGCAAAAGCTTTTGCACTTCTGAAGAAAGTCAGCTGACAGCTACACTGGCCGTGGGGCGTGGTGGACCGAATTTGTATAAGTACTCACAATAATTCCCTGCCACCATGCTCGTGGGTCACGGTGGGTGGAGTGCAGAGTGGCAACTTCAACTTGTGTGTCATAGTAACAGTCATACAGTCATTGACTGTTATGATTGACACATTTGACAGTAACCATAGGCATAGTCCACAGTCTTCAGCCTAATCATAGTGACAACTGACAAACTCCAAGTTCAGACAAAGCAAAAGCAGCCCAAATCTAGAGTTTGGAAACGTTGTGTGGTCACCGTCGCTCCAAGTATGAACGCGTTCAAGAACAGACTAGATAAAGCTATGGAAAAATATATGTTCAGATTTGAAATGCCTAGCACCATATCAAACCCGGGTCCCGGCCCAGTGGAAGTCTAGTAGCTACTAGCTAGCTACCTAGTACCTTAGGTACTTAAAACCGTCGTCAGTCATGAAAAGATCCGGTCAAATGACACGATTTTAAATCTTCTGTGAACAAGGCACGAAAAGAAAAAGGGTATTATTGCAGATTAACTACATCCAAAAAAAAGGGTGTTTTTTTTTTTTAATTATATGTTTTTTGGGGTGTAGATTACGAATCTGAATGATTTCAGATTCGTAATCTACACCCCAAAAAACATATAATTAAAAAAAAAAACACCCTTTTTTTTGGATGTAGTTAATCTGCAATAATACCAGAAAAAGAATCGACGACAGGCCACATCAGGCCTACACGTCAGCGCCGACCGCCGAGATCACTATGTTTTGTTAGTATGTTACAGAGACTTTTTTAGACTCTTTCTTAGCCTCTCAGGTTTGTTCATTTTAGTCTCAAAAGTAAACCAGCAAAGTCACATGGACACCGGAGCCTCCGGAGGATTATCATACGTAAGATGAATACCTGTTTTAATTTGGAATAAATGAGGAAATAAACACATTTTTACTCTCCGACATACTAAGAGTCTTCTTAGACGATAGGTTTGACACACACAGCGTTACTCCCATCCCTGGAACGATGACAACACAACCCAACTCGTGTCTTCGACTCTTCGTCAAACACATGTTTCCAGAAATACCAACACCTGAAATTGTTTTGAAAAATAATTTTAAACAAATTATAGTTCAACAATTGCAAAAATAGTTCTAGTGTCTAAACACCGAAATATTTGCAACGATACTCGTGTAATGATTTGAATCAAAATACTCAAAATAATCTAAGCCAAGACATGTCCATTATCACTCATTCTGTTTTTAAAATTCGCTAAAGATACTTCCACAGCTTTCAATACTATCTCCTAGACACGTTTGTTCTTTCATATGATAATCACGCCAATAACGCAGAATCTAATCAAAAGTATCCTCAGGAAACCTTTAATTTTACATATTTTGTAGTCATCGATTAGTCTGTCCTCGTCCAGATCTTCAAAATTCATGGGCGCTCATTGATCCTAGAGAATAATTTTGTCAAATCTTTTTATGGATTATTTTCGGTATCACTGATCGAATTAGCCAAAATAATGACTTAAGAGGTCAACACAGGGAAAAATCTTAAGATGTCGAAAACAATTAGATCGGAAAAATTAAACAACGTGTCAACAAATACAAGTATTTACATTTTTTACCGTTCACCAGGTACAAAAGTATTGCTCTTTTGCTAGTAGCAATTGCTCTTGCTGCAAGTATTGCTAGTAATCACTTTGAGATAACATTAAAATTAGACTCCTAATAAATCTAGTAGCAGCACATTGTCATATAACGTCTTTTAACTATTTCAGCTATCAGATAAATTAAGCCCTCATGATTATGTCAGGTAGATGCCGATATTCACAGCCCAATTAGAATGCAGCTTGTTTATACAATAAAATGCTATTACGAGATGAACAATCTTTATAGTAGTAATTAAAACAACCGATTCACGAAACATGCTAGCCTAGTAAACAAAATATTTTTACGTGAAAAGGGGTGAGAAATAATTTTTTCTGAGCGAAGCAGAGTAAGCATTGCAGCCGCAAGCATAGCAAAGGACAGATGCACTACTGAACCCGTAGTTTCGTTGTACGTATTGCTTTGTATGCTAGGTTTATGGAATGGGTAATAAAAATTAACCTATTATTAGATTGACCAAAAAACAAAATATGTTTGACCGTACATATTTATCATTGAGTTTCAAATCAGGCAAATTTATAACGCGTTAGCTATCAACATCAACTATTAGATAAATCATTCCGGTGGCAGCACACCAGCTCATGCATTAGAATAAGAAACATTCAGCCCGACGTGTGCATACATCTGTGTATCTTGAGAGGGTGAATTCGCCCTGGAGATCTTCAAGAGACGACTGGACGTGTTCCTGGGCACAATCCCTGATCGTCCGCCCCTGCACCACTACCATCGACGAGAAGCAAGCAACAGCATCGTGCACCAGCTGGCCCAAATGAGGGCGGATGCGCGATAGTCAGAGGCGGCGATCAATCGTGGCCTGGGACTGCTACGTCCGAAACACATACTAAGGATCGTGCGTATTACATTCAGAGCTCTGCATGACAAAATTTGCTCATCATTTTCCCAAAAAGTAATCGGGTGGGGCGCGTATTCAATTGATCACGTCAATACTTGCATCCGTCTTAACATAGGCCAAAATTTGTGTGGCCGTCACCTAACTGAGCATTGGTAGTAGATCACAGTCGACATTTTGTGTGATAAATATTTCAAAAATTAAATAACTGCGTAGGTTCAGGTAACAGACTAGGATTATACTGACACTTAAATTGCCACAACATTCAGTTGTTATTCAACTTTGACAGAATCCATATCTCCCTGGTTCTCCTTCCCTGTAACAGGTGTGTTTATTTTCTTCCGTTGGGCGTAGAACTTGCAGTAGCTCAGGAACCTGCGACAATAATTGCAGTAATAATTCAATGACTTAATGATCTTTTGAACGTTACAGTTACAGACTTGAAATGACTAAGCTCAGAAATTTCGAATGTTACAGCGACTCGTCACATCGGAGGGTTCTTGAAAATTTTTCTATTACATATTCATGGAATTGCTGGGAATGAAACAATGCCATAAAGGCGCGAAACCGTCTAGCACTTTCGGGGATGTGCGGTACGAGTCTCACAACATGTAGGGCGTAGCTAAATCCATTAAGTAAACTAAAGTTAAGGTCTTGATGTTATTTACTTTCTAAGATACTTAGTAACCAAGGCTAAAAATTTTGGAAGTGTAATTCATCAAATATGTTCTGATCATACGTTCAGTATGACATATAAATTAAGACTCTGTATGTATCTATGCTGTGCTCCTTACCCCGTGAAGACAAAGACAAAGGAGAGCATGATCATGTAGCCGAAGGTGTCCATCCTAGGGAAGGCGATGAGGAGGAGGGAGCGCAGCAGGCTGAAGAACTGGTTGAGAGATTCTTGTACTCCACTGATGGCCCCACGCTCGTGAGGCGCTACCAGCTCCTGCATGCTCTGCACCACGGACAGGTCAGCGGTCCACAGCCCTGCCAAGTCACATTATAACTAGATTTTTGACAATCAATACTATATAAAAAGATCTAGTATAAAAAGGAGTACTGAATAGCAGAACAGCTATACATAGATTTTGGTAATCATGTAGTGGCGGAACTCGTTTACTCGTTCGCCTGGTCATATTGTTGTATGTATTCAATTTTATTTTATTAACGTTCAATTGTCAAGTAAAGGCCTTTTTTTAGTGAAGAGATTTCAAAAAACTTATCCCGTGAACGTAGTTATCCCAAAACTAATTATAACATTAATTCACGAGTTCATATTTATCAAATGAAGAAGTTGAATAGGATAGAATGAAGTTACTAATTGTTAGATATTTAATATAAACGTTTATACAAGTGATGAAACTACAAGAACGCACCAAAGCGGGACACAATGATGCCTGTCAGTAGCATGACCATCGAGCAGTAGCTGTCCGTGACACCACGGCCTCCGGCCGTCAAGTTACTGGACCTGCTTCCAATACTGTCTGGAATTTGGAATAATCGGCCATAATTTACTTGAAAGTTCATGGTTACTTAGTGCATTCTGGACAAGGAAAAATAATTCAATAAGCAGGCTATGTCGTGCATTTTTGCCCGGGAAACAATCGAATTTGGCAGGAAATGTTGTTCACTCAATAATAGAGCCATAAAATCTTGAAGAAAAAGTATATGAGAAATAGAATCATTTCCTGCGTCGATAAATACCTAGTTGAAAAATGTAAAAAAATTGTAAAAGTGAATATAGTTCGTGAAATTCGCTCAAATTGCTTGCAGTTAGGATCTAAGGCTGAATACTCAAATCCAATCGCAGAACACCAATAAAAAATATAACTCAGCACTCGCTGCAGTGAATGACAGACAGCGTATTTTGTCGTTGACGAAAACGTGTGAAGTCACGGACGGACAGACAGACGGACGGACGGACATGGCGAGCACAATAGAGCCTTTTTTTCCATAAATGAGAAAATGCGCTATAAATTTAATGATTGAGTTTAAAGATGAGAGGCGAAATTGGCTCTTTGAATTTACGTAGCAAACATAAATGGGCCCTACAAATACCTTAAATTTCCGGCATGTACAGTAAAGCTAACGTCTTCATTTATAAGTCACAATAAATGAGAGGATGTCTATAAGCGGAGGTTTACCGTCGTGCGTGCGGAGACCTGCAGTGAGATTAGTGGCCACAGCAACGGCTAATGAAGCTGAAGTGGTCGTCGGGGTCGTGTAGTTCATCAATGAAACGCCTAACGCCAGCGAGCCTGTGAAGTATAATTGCATAGAACGTTAATATCATTGGCCGGAACATCAATTTGGAACTCAATTTTATCACGTTACGTAAGTTTGTCAACATAAATGACTAAATATTTCGGCATAAATTATAACATGCTGCATAAGTTATCCAGAGAGCATAAATCTCAATTTACGTGACATGGTTGGTTAGGGTGGATAGCTAGAGGTCAGCATAGCCAAAGTCCACAGTGCGATTCATATACCTTCCCGAGCGTAACGCAGCCGGGCATCTTCACGGCTTTTGACACAAAGCGCCCACCACAACAGCGCCGTTCAGTCACAGGCACTGTTTCACAGCGCCGGAGCACAACTGGCCGGAGCGCAGCAGGCATTACCTACAACGCCTTAGCCCGGCCCTACTCCTAACCTAACCTAACCTGCGGCTGTTGCGGTAGGGCCTGTTGCGCTCCGGCGCTGTGAAGCAGTGGCTGTGTTTTTTAAAGTTGGTGTGGTGACAGTCACTTACACACAGCTCATTGATCTGAGGCTATGTGTAGATATTGCATGCTGATGGTTGGGGTTGGGCCCAGGGCCTGTTTACGAGTCAATTTTGTCACCCACGGCTGCGCTCCCGTTGGTTAAAACTAAGACCAATATGCATAGATCGCACATACGGTACATAAAATAACACAAGCCGCGTGACGCGAACCGACCTCGCTGCTGCCAAGGGGCGAGGTAGAAGAGCGAGCCTGGAGCGAACACTGACGCAACGCACAGCAGCAACCAACCGCTTAGCCAGCCGAATCCCAACAGCCCCGTCCGCTCCAACCCCATCTGTCGGAAAAGAGATTCCGTCTTAAAATACAAATTATACATTTGTGCTCTTCAATTTGATTCATTTCTGGGAGGAGGCTTAAAATATATTTCCTTAAATTTGCAACAACTATCAGCCTTATATTGTAACGGGTAGCCCAATTATCGATGCTCTTCTGATCTTGGTTACATCTGACGCAGAGTCTGAACGGATTGGCTGGCAGTGGCAGGAGGGTTGCTTCTCATTTAAAATGGAATATGCCATTAATTCAAGCATGCCAGAGGAAATGAATGCAGGAAATAATTAGGTTTATTTTCAAATATCGTGATTGTTTCTTCCTTTTTGAGAAATTACAAGGTCCTCCTGAAAAATGGCATCACTTTCTAAATTTTACGTAAAATCGCTCAACTCTTGTTTGAGTCAACATGAGAAAAGAGAACCTAAGAGGCCCCCGCACTTCTTTTTGTCTGATTATAGAGAAGAGAAAGAAATCATTGAGGCCCATGCACTTACCTTTCGCCGAAGTACAGAGAAAAACAAAATCTTAAGGAGGCCATGTGCTTACGTTTCACCTGAGCACAGAGAAGAGCAAGGCATCAAAGAGACCAGGTGCTTACGTTTCACATGAACACAGAGAAGAGCAAGTCATCAAAGAGGCCAGGAACTTACCTTCCGCCTGAGAAAAGGGAAGAGCAGAGAGCCAAGAAGGCCTGGCAGGGAAGACAATGCCGTACACACCCCGAGGATTAGTTCGTTGAGACCAGCCTCGAACAGGTACGCTGGCATGAATAATATCTAGTTGGAATAATTAGAACTGTATTTCCTAGCTGCTAAGTATCTAAAATTTCTATTCGTCCCCGACGTGGTAGATTGTTGTCTTGATATGGCGGCCTTTTACGAGATAGAACCCTCCAAGATTTGAAAGTACTTAATTAAAGAGCCAGATGGTTAATGGAAGGGAATGACTCTTTAGTTGTAGAATGTGGTAGTTGGCCACGTTAATTTAACTTTAATGCTACCATTATCTGATTCAGTTGACTACAGTAAGATCTCGTTTCCAAAAGAAGCAGAAGGTATTACCTCTGTAGTTATTGACTGATGTAATTCACTACAGTATAAGCTCGATTCAAAGCAGACAAATGCCTCATCCTTTTAGTTAACTGCTGTAATTGATTACAGTAAGAGCTCGTCTTCAAAAGCAGCCAATCGTCTCACCCCTGGAGTAGTTGTCTAAGGATAGGACGGTCATGTAGAGGAGGGCGAGACCCAGACCAGCACATCGCACTTGGTGCGTCAGGTAGACGCGCCATGAAAACGACATGGCTTCAACCTTGTGTCGCAAGCGTGCAAAAGCGCTACATTCGCTGCTAGTGGTGCAAGTGACCTGGAATTTATTCGGCGTAATGAGTAGCCTGTCCTTTTGTAAAGCATAAATCATATTTGCAATTGATACTTTAGCAAAACTGCTCAACATCATGCAATTATTCAATGCACCAAATTGCCCAAAATATCGGTCTCAACTACCCAATAACCACACACGAGAAAAAACTTAAAACCTTCTACTAGTGAGAGTACCAGACCACTGCAGCCAAAGGGATATATATATATGTTCAGGTTCAGGAAAAAATTCATGCGGATGGACCGGAAGAAGGTTTAACTCTCAATAGTTAAAGGCCAGCAATACCTTGTAACTAATCATACACTACACCTCAGGCTTGCTGATCTGGAGCCGCGGACAGAGCTTCCAGATGCGCGCGTAGAGGGCGGCCTCCAGCAGGAGGCTGGAGAGATTCCAGACGATGATGACTACGGCGCCGACACTGACGCTCACCGCGGCCATCAAGTAGCCGGCAGCCACGGGACTCATCACCTCCGTGCCCAGGTCGATAGCGCGGATCACGGAGTTGGAACCTCAGTGTGAAGTGAGGGTTACGAAGGGACTCTACTACGCTGAGTTGCTAGGGTATTACGGTGCCAGCGTAATTTGGTGCTAGTGCTGCGATGCATGAGAGTTACGGCTGGAGAATAATAGTGTTGCATGTTAGTGCGCGGGTGTAGTGTGTGCGTTAGGATTGATACCTAAGCAAAAATGCGAAGCGCAGTGACTACAGACTAGTCATATGTTGAGTAAATACTTCGAAAAATACTGTTTTTTTATATTGGACACTAAAGTTGGAGTTATCCTGCATATAAAAGAACACTTACAATAAAAAGTAAGCTAGGCAGAAGTCATGTCGTGCCAGGAACAAATAGAGCTATGAAGTTTCATTTGCAGACTCATAATAATTTCACAGTTCAAACTAATTCCCTGTTAGTAAAGAAGAAACTGAACGCAGTATTGAACCTTACGTGCCAGTAAGTGAGGGTTTCTAGAAGCCACTTCGACAAGCCAGTCTTTGGTGAGGCAAGTTTGGCAACCGCTAGACGCCACAGCAGCCACAGCTGCAGCACACACTGCGCCACACAGCAGCAGAGGCTCAAGCCACACCAGCACTTGCACTAAAAAATCCAATTCAGAATAAATAATTAACGACTTAATCTTACACTGGCTTCATTGATAATTTTACGATCAATAACCGATCTACATAAGCTCAAACTGGAGAACTTTTAAATCGCTGTTTTAATCATACCAGAAACTACGCCTTTTTTTAATATCTGCCGGTAAACACAAAGAGTACGAACCAGATCCTTCTACTTATGGTGCAAACTTGCAAATACTTATTTTCCAATAGTAGCAATATTGATGATTTTCATTTGAAGTGAGACGAGCGAAAATCCAATACAATAGAGAGCATGCATTGGATACAACGTAAATACACAAGGGTATATGGTGCTCTGTAAGACAGACGAGCAGCAAAAAGGTTGAATATGCAAGTGGATAAATCCTGTGAAATAGTAAATAGGCAATATCTGAAAAACAGAGGGGCAAGGGTTTTCTATGTTTGATAAAGCAAATTATTTCCAATGCACTTCAAAATTTCATAGTGAAAATTAAAAATTCTCAGGTTAAATATAAATAATGGGGTTACAAAACGTGTAAATAACCAAAGTAGAGGAATCGAATTACCCGGAAATTTGTACCCAACTCACTGAAGTGAGCGCCCTGCAAGATGACTAGGAAGCAGGCACCGCTGAGGGCCACACACAGGTTCTGCACGAGCAGACAGGTTAGAGCGACCTGACGGCGGGGGTTGCGGTCAATCCACGAGCCCAGGGGCGCAGCGAACACGATGACGAACACGCACGTGGTGGCGTAGTACAAGCCTATGAGGCGCATGGAGGACGGCGAGATCTGGGGGCGGGTGAGAGCATGAGACATGTAGATAGTGGAGCAGGGAAGATCTGGGGGCGGGTGAGAGCATGAGACATGTAGATAGTGGAGCAGGGGAAGATCTGGGGGCGGGTGAGAGGATGAGACATGTAGATAGTGAAGCAGGGAAAGATCTGGGGGCGGGTGAGATGATGAGACATGTAGATAGTGGAGCAGGGGAAGATCTGAAGTGGGTGAGAGCATGAGGCATGTAGATAGTGGAGCAGGGGAAGATCTGGGGGCGGGTGAGATGATGAGACATGTAGATAGTGGNTCTGTTGATAGGTGAGGAGAAGAGATCTGTTGATAGGTGAGGAGACGAGATCTGTTGATAGGTGAGGAGAAGAGATCTGTTGATAGGCAAGGAGACGAGATCTGTTGATAGGTGAGGAGAAGAGATCTGTTGATAGGCAAGGAGACGAGATCTGTTGATAGGTGAGGAGAAGAGATCTGTTGATAGGTGGGGAGATGAGATCTGTTGATAGTTGAAAACAGTAAGAACTTTACACACTGAATAAGAGCAAGATTTATGCATAGGTAATATGGACAAGATAGATGAAATATTGCAGGTAAAAGGACTAATAATGCCTGATTTGGCTAAATTGAGAATAGAAATTGAAATAAATATTATAACATCTATAGATTGCTGTACATTTTGGGATAGCTGACCTGCACAAGTATCATGCCAGCTGTGAACATCCACTTTCGGTCACCCCAGTGACCAAGGAATGACAGCACATAAATCTGCACAGTGATCCATATCAATGAAATGCCTTATCTAAAGGCAAATTAAATGCTTCTGCACTTGAAATGCAATCTAGGCAAATATTTTCAATAAAATTCCAAATAGTATTTTGTTACAAATTTCATCATGGAACAGCTTTCAATTTTTATTGCATATAACATCACAACACACATCAAATGAAAAAGGGAATCATAAAAGATATAGCATAACTTTTCAAATTTCCAACCAAATAGTTTCCAAGCTAGCAGTGAGTATATTCTTATAACATTGACACCTTTATATCTTAGATGATTCATACTTCATGTTCATCTTAGGATGGATATTTTTCCCAGTATAATTTGATGGGAAAGCTGCATTTGATTTTGACCTTCATGCACTGTCATAGGCAAGGTAAATTCTTAGAGAAACTTTGTCTCAATATGCCTATACTGGTAATATATTAAAATTATTATGCCTATATTATTACTATTGGAAACATTATATATTCATGATATTATTATACATAGATTATTCTTCAGCCATAACTCTCATATAACTAGTATTGAGAAAATTACAGCATGTTAAAGAATTTTGTTTTTACACTGGAGGTATATGTATATATACAGAAATTAAATAAAAGCAACAAACATAATTGTTGTAAAACATCTGAAATTAAACAAGATTACATAACTTTCATAACTTACCAGTGTGAGTGGACTCCACTTGTTAGGTAGACATGGAGAGCAGCATCCATCTTTGGCTGGCTCTCTCTCTGATAATAGAAAAGAGAATTAAAGTTTTATGCTTATTTATAATTTTAAATTGTGTAAGTAAAAAAAACAAATTTAGATATACAAAGACATTCAAAGTAAAAATAATTCAGAGAAATAAAAACTAAAAAACTAAATTTTTATATTTATAACTATAATAAGAATTTTATAGTTTAAGAATTTCATATAATAAATTTTAAGATTATTTTAATATCATAACATAATGTTAAAAAAACATAAAATAAATAGATAAATATAGAACAAAATCCAATATATCATAAAACATGGCAACATTGACTAATTGAGGTGCTGCCCTGTGGCAATGGCATGATGGTACTTCTTGATATATAGTCACATATTAAATATATAAAATATATTATTCCTATTACATTTGTTGGTTATCTCATGGTACTTTGAGAGCCATCAACACAATTATTCTAAAGCAAAAACTTTGTGAGTTATTGGGTTTTGTTTTCTTAACATCAAAATGGTCCAAGTCAGTCCATTTTACAGTAGGTACTATAAAATCAACCATGCTTTAGCCTACAGTTAAGAAAACAACATTTAGATATCAGCATTGATTACCTTTCACATTTGATGAGCTTGGAAATTCAGAGATGTCAGATTGAAGATCATTACTAAGAGCCATAACATTTGGCTCATCTCTATCATTCATAAGTATGAGTGGTAGAGAGGAGGCTTCTTCTTTGACAGGAAGGAATTCATTCTCCATTTTATTGACAAATTTGTTATAAATGCAAGTTCACATACACTCAGACTTATTCCAGATGATTGGAGGGACGCTCAGGTCACACCCTTGTTTAAGAAAGGAGATAAAGCAAATCCTGGTAATTATAGGCCAGTCAGTCTCACTAGTATAGCTTGCAAGGTTATGGAGGGAATAGTTAGGCATAAGGTTATGCGGCATTTGAGTGACAACAGTTTATTGACTGGTTGCCAGCATGGCTTCGTGGCAGGAAGATCGTGTACTACCAACTTGCTCACCACCCTTGAGAACTGGACTGAGATATTAGACAGGGGTGCTCCCGTCAATGCAGTATACTTAGATTTTTCGAAGGCTTTTGACTCGGTACCTCACGAGAGATTACTCGTCAAGCTAAAAGCACTTGGTGTGGATGGTCAGGCGTTAGGATGGATCAGGACATTTTTGAGCAATAGACGTCAAAGAGTCTGCGTTAATGGCTGTCTATCAGACTGGACGGCTGTAACAAGCGGAGTGCCTCAAGGAAGTGTCATGGGGCCTGTACTTTTCGTAGTGTTCATTAACGATTTGCCAGATGCCGTAGAATGTTTGCGCTCCATGTACGCGGACGACACCAAGATGTATAACAGCGTGGAAACGGACGCCAAGCAACAAAGGCTTCAGAGTGATTTAGATAATCTTGTTGACTGGGCAGACACTTGGCAGCTTAATTTTAATGCTGACAAATGCAAAGTGCTACATTTGGGAAGGCAAAATAGACACTATAAGTATAATATGCGAAAGCACGGGAGTACGGAGCGCATTGAATTACAAGCGACGGAACTTTGAACAGACTGGACAGTGTTATGCGGGACCTTGTCTACAGTGTAGACGAGCTTCCCACCTTTATTAGAGCTGATCAAAGGATCAGCAGTCAGTATGGACCAAGAGACGAGTACCAGGCACAACAGAATCGGCAACAGGCTGTGGAAGCCTAACATCTGATGCCGAGATTGCTATGCTATGCTATGCTATGCTAAACTTGATTTAAATTGAAATATTCAACCTTTTACTGTAAAAGAAGTTGTGATTCATTTAAACTGCTACAGTGGTACCTGATTTCTTGCTGCTTGCAACTTGCAAGATAGTAAAACTCTAATTTTTACACATACCTACTTCACCTTGTATCTGTTAATTTATTACCTATTTTCGAGACAAACCAGTTAATTTTGGACATTCCTCCAATGAAAATTAAATTAATGGACAAAATGAAATTATGGCATTTAAAAAGGGAGTTGAACAGGTTGCTTGGTCCCTGGTTGGTACCTAGGTACACATATCATGTTGGATTGAAACGCTCAATACTAGAATATCCCTCTACTCTCTAGGTAGAGTAGACTCTAAACCTAGAGCTCCGATGAGATTTTGTCATCAAGCAAAGTTAGGAAACTAAAAATTGCCAACTAAAATCAATATTGAAATATATTATATAATACGAGTTCAAAAACTCCTTCGAGTGTAATAATAACGAGTGATCACCTCAGCCTATGCTGCGTGCTTACGACTGGAAATCTCCCTGCATACATTTTGAAGTTCCAAACTGATATAATTTCAAAATTACATAGGAACCAATTTCAATACGGTAAACTGTTTGGCTATCTCAGCCTTTCTGCACTAAGCAGTATCAATTATCAGTAGACAGTTCACAGTAGCGCACTAGGACAACGGCTGCGCAGTGTAATACATGCCAGACGTATTTGTCCAGCTGCGTACGACAACTTTTATCAGCTGCAACGTAGAGCGGCAGGCAGAGCAGGGGCTGTTTGTTGTCGTAGTGTCAGTTGCACATTTGCTGCGTTCTAAGTGGGATTGTAGGTCATGTGTGCCGTGACGTGCGCGGTGAGAAGTGCGTGTGATTGAGTTCACACTTTGTATCATGGATAGTTCATCAGTATGCAGCAGTCTCATTGCATGGGTAAGCTTACAAAAATATCGAATTATTCATGAATACGTCTCCTAATAATTAAATTTTGTTGTACGTTGGTGAAGACTAGGCCGTTAGAGTGAGTAAACTCGGAGAGAATACCTAGTATTTGGGAGTTCTGTCCCAAGCCGATCGGCTACCTATTTGAGTATTTGCAAATCACCGAACTGGGAAAGTTGGATTCGGCCTCAACAATTACAGTCTGATATTTTATTGGTTATGACTTATTGACTTTGACAGACTACATATTATTAATGGATATACAGTATTCAAATCTGTATTCATTGATCTTTAACTGAGGAGGCAACTCAGGCAAGTGCTATATCATATATGATGGGCGTTTTCTTCAACTCTGGTCATTTCCATCTCTTATTTTACTTCAGACTGAAAATTAATTAGCTACTCACCCTTGTACTGTTGTCTATTCTCTTTTTTGACGATTAGCGCTATATGGTATATTGTTTGCCTTTTTGAGCTGAAATGGCCTAGTAAGTAGTAACATGGACTGGAGGTACTGGATTTAACATTTAAACCTACCTAATTCCACCAAGGTGTGAAAATTATTTATCTATTGCTGAATCAATAATAATTAAATCAATTTATTAATTTTGCTGGTTTGAATTGGTTTTCTATTAATGAACTGATTGAACTCAGGAGTCAGGAACCTAGCCATAGTAGGCTAGGCGGTATTATTGCAGATTAACTACATCCAAAAAAAAGGGTGTTTTTTTTTTTTAATTATATGTTTTTTGGGGTGTAGATTACGAATCTGAAATCCATTTTTGGCGGTCGGCATCGGAAAACCGATTTTTTTCGCGACTTACTAACATGGGGGTTACGTTTTCAGATTCGTAATCTACACCCCAAAAAACATATAATTCAAAAAAAAAAACACCCTTTTTTTTGGATGTAGTTAATCTGCAATAATACCGGCTAGGCCCCTATAAAATAAAATATGCTTACTTTACCTTAGTCATGGTAACAAGAAAATTTTTCTTTAATTTAAATGTAGGCAATATAATAATTCATTTATTTTTATAATTGGACTAAATATTTTGGTTATAAATATACATTTTATATTACTCTTTTTGTGCCAGTAATTTTGGAAAATACTAATAGACTAAACTTTGAAATTTCTTTATAAAATATTTCAAAGTCATTTAAAATAACAAAATTTTGGACTTGTGACTTAGGGCAATGTCATAATGTCTCAACAAGTCTTGGAATTTTTTAAAAATAAGCAATTTTTAAAATTTTGGATCCACTTTGAATTGCAAGTATATTAACCAGCTAACAATAATAATGGCTAGAATTTCATACATTATATGAGCCAAGATGAGTTTAAATATGTAATAATGTGTAATAACCAAAAAGTAGAACTTATTTATATTATAGTCACTCTAGTCATCTATCTGCCCAAATTTTAAATTTTGCAATTTTCTGGGGCAATTCAATTCAAGGCTTCACAGCCTCCACTTGTGGCTTGAAAAGTTTTACATATATTGTTCTGTGTTTGAACACATTCGTTTTTGTGCAGTTACATTTTATTTTTATGGTTAAATAGTACCTACTTATTTACATGGCTACTTATAATGAAAGGAATGTTTAAACAATATTTTATATATTGCAATGTTTGAAGAGTTTTAAATCAAACTTATCTACTGAATTAGATCCTATAATTTGTTGATTAATGCTGTTGATGGCCATACTGTGGATATGTACTTTGTACACAACTACACATCCCCAGACTTAGGGTTGCAACTGATTTTCTATTTTGTTTTTGTGCTGTGCAGCTGGAGACATTTCCAGGCGTATCAAACGTGACGGTTGCGGGACTTGCTGATGGAGTCGTCATTGGTCGGGTCCTCAATTTGGTGTAAGTCTTCTGAGGCTAATTACTTCTTCCCTGTGTAAATCTAATAATTGTTACTGCCTGCAATACACTGAACTGACACTGAATGCACTGAGGCTAATTACTTCTCCCCTGGTTATATCTAAAAATGGTAACTGCCTGCAATACACTAAACTGACACTGAATACACTGAGGCTAATTACTTCTCCCTTGTGTGTATCTAATAATTGTTACTGCCTGCAATACACTGAATAAAATTTATATACATCATTACTCAATTTTGCTTTATTTATGTTGTTTAAGAAACAATAGGATATGATCTATACTTGAATCTGTGTGGAAAATGGCACTCCAGCATATCTCATGTCAATTAAAGTTTAACATTCATTGCTTTACTTTGTCAACTCCTATCAACATATTTTAAAATGACAATGGCAAATGCTTATTCTTTCTGCTTTGCAAGTTTTGCATTTGTTAGCAGATATAATAGCCATTATTATTTTATTGTGATTTTTGTGTTCAAAATTATATGAGCTTTTTATTTTTAACTCCTGTATTTCCTGACTGTATATTCATGTGTTTTAGCATTTCTTGAATAACATTTTCCACACCATTTCTTATATATTCTATCCAAACAACTGTCAAGTTAAATATTCATTTAAATACCTTACATGAAAATCTTGCTAATTTCACCTGCATATTAACTAGTTCTTATCCCAGTTATTAGTTATCAAGTTTCTGCTGTTCATAGCGAATTGTATTGTAGCGACAGGATGGATGCAACTCAGGCTCATAGTAATGAATGGGTCATGTTGTCCAAATCGTGACACTCTTTCTGCACGTAGCACCAATACACCCTTTTTGCAAGGGGCAAACTGGGTAAGAGTGACCCACACGCGGCAGAAAGCGCATCGCTATTTTGACCAAGTTTCGCTCATGTCCCTAGCAGCAGCATGTTGGCTAAGCCAAGTTCTGGTTCAATTCGTCCAGCACGTCACATAGGCAATGTCCTCCGGCGTTGCCATGACAACTCGCCTCGTCCCAAACTCCGCGTTTCCGGTAGCGCCGCGATGCCTGCTTGACAGCCGAGGGTTGGGGGACTTACGACGCTCGAAACTCACTGAGGTTTACCGTGATCGTGATCTTGTGCGTCGTGACTGCAGTCACCCACGAAAAAATAGAAACTAATTTGTTTTGTTGGTAAATGTAGAAGATACGTTTATTTGGGTATCGTATGCGGAAAATTACAAGTACATGAATCTAGCTCTGCAGAACGGGGTTTAGACTAGTTGAGAAGCGAGTTTATTTTCTCTGCATTAGGCTATTCATAGTAACAATGGTAATTAAACGCGTCGCCTGAGCTCATGATTGCCATGGAATTTATCAACGTTATTTTAATTTGAGAAATTTAGTTTGAATTGCGAATACCGACAGTGGCAGTAAAGTATACAGTGGGGGGAAATAAATATTCGTACACTTGAAAAATCGTATTTTAATGTATGTAAGTACACAAACTTAACAGGAAAAGTGATTTAAATTATGTATAGAGACGCATAGTATTCAAAAATACTATCAAAAGAAATTCAATCTCAATGCAACAAAAAACAATGCAACATGTTCACTTTTCGGGTGAAAAAAGTATTCGTACAAAATAATAAATCCGCGTTATTTTAATTTATTACTTGGTTGAATACCCTTTGTTCAGCTCAACANGTGATGCTGTACTAAGCGCAAGTGCTGCTGTACTAAGCGCAAGTGCTGCTGTACTGAGCGCAAGTGCTGCTGTACTAAGCGCAAGTGCTGCTGTACTAAGCGCAAGTGCCGCTGTACTAAGCGCAAGTGCTGCTGTGCTAAGCGCAAGTGCTGCTGTGCTAAGCGCAAGGGCTGCTGTACTAAGCGCAAGTGCTGCTGTACTGAGCGCAAGTAATGCTGTACTAAGCGCAAGTGCTGCTGTACTAAGTGCAAGTGCTGCTGTACTAAGCGTAAGTGATGCTGTACTAAGCGCAAGTGATGCTGTACTAAGCGCCAGTAATGCTGTACGACAACTGTACTGCACCTCCTAGCCAGCGAATCTTGCCTCTCATGTCGGCAGCTGAGCGTCATTTTTCAGCCGTAGAGATTCACTTCCCGTCGCCCGCATTTGGTGTCGTGTTAGAAGAGCCCCGTCTTGTGCTCAACCCAATTTATTTCATTTTTCCTTGCGTGTTTTATAGCATTCTAGCTACTTGAAGGATTTTCCGTAGAATTTCTCTCATTCTTTTATTTATATCCTCATTAGTATGCGCTAGCATGAGCAAACCGTTAATTGTCTTTGAAATGCAGAATGAACGAGAAAAATATTTTCTAGGAGTCATTCAAAACGATTGTAATGACCGTGTCGCATGTGGTTGGTTAATCTCACGAATGAAAAGAGATGAGAAATTTTTGTTCATGGCTTAGCGAGAACGTTTTATAACATTCTCGTGAGCTAACTCTACAACGATGCGATTTATCCATTTATGTACCGCGCTTGGTTCTATTAGCTCTTTGAAATGTTAATCTTAGTAATGCGTCGCTGCTCTCGCGTCAGCAGTATTTTTCACTCTCTCGAGTGTCCTGTTCTCCCGCACTCGAGTGTCTTGTTCTCCCGCACTCGAGTGTGTCTTGTTCTCCCGCACTCGAGTGTCTTGTTCTCCCGCACTCGAGTGTCCTGTTCTCCCGCACTCGAATGTCCTGTTTCTCCCGCACTCGAGTGTCCTGTTCTCCCGCACTCGAGTGTCCTGTTCTCCCGCACTCGAGTGTCCTGTTCTCCCGCACTCGAGTGTCCTGTTCTCCCGCACCCGAGTGTCTCTGACTAGTACATTATAGTTAAGCCATTTCTTTCCACTGGGCTAATGATTTCTCCTGAACTGCTTGCCGTGTAAGGCGACGTAGGAGATCCCGTAGAACAAAGCCGCTCTCAGCTCTCAAGTGGCTGGCTTTCGAAGGCTCTTCATCTCTGGCAGCGCCACGCGGTCCTGGCGAACGTCAACCGTCGATCGAGACGACGAGTTCATTCAAGTAGATTCTGGGCATGCTTTATGCTGTCGTTTTGTTATCAATTTAATCCAATTGACAATGAAAGTGGCAAGAAAATTACCCATCAAACTCGAGTGTAATGTCACTTGATACAACACAATGATGGAGGAATATGGAGGAAATCACTGAAAAGCTGTGGTCATTGGCACAGGTGGCTGGTGCTATTCTTCCCCGATACGGAATTGCAAATCGCGATATTTGTCGAGTGTTTGACATTAATTAAAGTTTAACATTCATTGATTTATTTTGTCAAATTAAATTCATATATTTCAAAGTTTAATGCGCATATGTGTTCATTTGTAAAATTTCCATTTGTATTCCCGTACATAGCCAGCGCTAACGATGAAAACAAACTCAAAAGTAAATCCTACATTAATTATTCCAGAGGTTCAATCTAAAGCATTGCATATGAATGCTTGGATTATGCATCCGCAAGCAGCGTCGGAATCTTCAAAATTATTTGGTGTGTAGATAAGTAGGTGAGCTTATTAAATATCATACCAGGTAAATTTTTCCTGTATCTATTATTACGATATTCATGAATCTAAGAAATGGTCTCATTTTCATTTCAGAAATATCGTCTATGAAGTGAACTTGGACAAATTTCATGGAAACGCGGTTCCTTTATTGAAATTATTATGAAAATAAAACAAATAAAAAAACTTTTAAAAACCACGTTTTCTTAACGGACAAAAAAGAAAAACATTTACTCCTACATAACATTTAAGTTATGTAAAATGTTACGTAATGTTATGTAAGAGTAAATGTTTTTCTTTTTTGTCTGTTAAGAAAACGTAGTTTTTAAAAGTTTTTTATTTATTTTATTTCACTATTTGTAGTTTTGTAAAATCCAGAGAAACGTGGTTTTTAAAAATATTTTTTATATTTATTTATTTTCTACTTTTTAGTTAGCAATTTTAGCAATTCAAATCATTTTCCAGGGTTGGCAAGTTTGGATGTTCCAGAAAAAACTCAATTCCAAACCGTGAATTTTTGTGTTTTTTTATTTTTTAATTTTTTTTTTAATTTTTTTTTTTTAAATTATTATTTCTGATGATCAAATCTTGAATTGTTAGGCAGCATAAGCATGCATGCCAAATTTCAACTTACTAGGATGTTTAGAAGTGCTCTAAATTAAGGTTTGAATTTTTGATTTTTGATGACATACACACGAAACGAAGTCAAGAAAAACGTGGTAAATTAATCTATCTTTGAAGATGAATTGAATTTATTTGTGTCTGTTCGAACATTGATTCGTCATCGTTGAACAAAATGAATAGTAGTTGCTGCGCTTTGACTCCCTTGATGATGCAGCTTGGTACGGCTTGATAAAATATAGCACCGGCTTTGAGTGCGTAAAGAGTAATTTAGTTCATGTTTGTAGTCTCTGCAGTAACGCATGCAGATAACAGGGTTTTAGTGTAGTTGGATAGAAGTTCTTCATTTGTTCAGGTTTCATTTATTCAGAAGTTCTTCATTTATTCAGGTTTCATTTATTCAGGCTTGATTGAAGACCAGAGCGTACTTTTTAAGCGCATCACTTAATATCGTAATCCAAATGTAAACAATTATCAGGATTATGTAGTCTAAGCAGTAACACTTGCCGCTAACAGCATGCAGATTATCATGCTGCTGCAATTTTTACGGCTGTATCTTCCACTGCTGGATTTATCGCTGCGGTCGGGTATGCTGCGGGCTTCTGCAATTGTTACGGCTGTACCTTGCGGCATTGATGATAACAAGAAGTTAGATTGAATGATTTTTTGGGCTGAATGATTTTACAGTCTATGTATACTAATAAAGCTTGCAGCATTCATGTTATAGATCTTACACTCGTAAAATTACGCTTTTCAATACACTGTTGAACTCTTGTAAACACCCAAGTAATTCCGCTCTGTACATTTTTGCTCTTACTTCAGTTCCGACTGCAGCTCTGCAGCAGTTCCGACTGCAGCTCTGCAGCAGTTACGACTGCAGCTCTGCAGCAGTTATTCTGCAGCAGTTATGACTGCAGCTCTGCAGCAGTTACGACTGCAGCTCTGCAGCAGTTATGACTGCAGCTCTGCAGCAGTTATGACTGCAGCTCTATTAGCAGGTCAGGCTGGAAGAAGGCAAGGCTGCGTTAGAACTGTATATGCCTGTCGGGACAACGACCTTATGCCGCTGCTGCTGGTCGCCGTGGCCGAAATGACAGTAGCGAACCACAGTGCATTTCACTCCGTAATTAGGCTTAACTAGGGGCCTCTTTATTGTTGTGTGTGTTAATTAGCGCATGCATTTCTCTACAAGTGACGTAAGTGACGGTTGAGTGCGCATAGGACAGCACGTTACTGTCATGGATGTGACAAATAAAGTTCAATTGTGACAAAGCTTAATTCTATTTGCGCAGCACGTAAGATATTCTTTACATAAAGTTTATGGTCATTTTTTCATTAAATTTAAGCTTCAGAATCAAATGAACGAGCTTGGTTTTGACGTAGAGCGTGCTTTTCTTCAGATATTTAAGGTGCATTTGTTCACTAAGCCGAATGCGGTTTACTCTCCTGAACCCGAGCTTCCGCGAGTGGATTCATTAGCGCCCTGACTTCACCGACTGTGAGTAAACGACTGTGAACCTTTACTGTCTTGTAAAGTTATTTGCTGTAAAGCTTGCAAGAAATTTCAATCTTTTTTCCCATATTGGTAATACGTTGCGAATGGAAGTATTTATATAGGGCATCGGCTGTTCTCTAGTCTGGTTGTTTGTTCGGGTTCAGAGCTGCAATGCTGAACGTATTGTGTCGATAATATCTTACAAAGTTAGACCGACTATAACAGACGCGTGGGATTCTACCGTAGAGTGTAATGAGATGGATTGAGGCCTTTAATATCTTTAATTGTTTAGTTTGTGTAGCAATAAATCTACGCATGTAGTATTTCATTTATTTTTATCGGCATTTCTTGTCGTTTAGTAATTCCCAGCATAATATCCTCGTCGCAAATTATATTTCAACTATCGAATGCCTGTATCTTTATTTTACAAACTTTCCTGCGTCGTTTTTTACATTACCCGATCTCAGTTTGTCATTGCAAGTCATCTCTCAACGACCAGTATTTATGTGGTAGTTTGTGGTTCGTGTGAAACCTGTTTCTCGACTGCTCGTTATTATGTGATTAAAATGCCGACTAATTTCGATGCACCTCCAAGCGATCCTGCGTAGCGAACATCGCTGCTATATTTTTGGTCGGGGCATGAGTTACATTCAGAGAAATAAGCGAGACGTTGTACAAATAGCGATACGCTTTTTAGCTTGTATGGGTCTCTCTGACTCAGTTTGCCTCTTGCAAACCGGCGTAGTAGTGCCATGCACGGAATGTGTTGTTAATTGGACAGCATGACCTAATTATTTTTCTGATCATATCTGAATGGTCGAACGATAATATAGAGTGCTGGATTAGAGAACCATTGTATTAATTCACGTGATGATTGTTCATTAAAGTGACAGATAAAAATGCTCGAGAGTTTCACTCTCTTAATTTTTTTAGCTCTTGATTGCTAGAATTTTTTATGTGCTACTGGTGCAAAGAGATTTATTCTGCGAATTAACTAATTAATTGCCGGGTTTCTATTGATGAATTATTTCCTATATAGTAGGTTCTGGTGAATGGTCTCTTTTGTTGACTAATATTTAATTTTTTATACGTCCGGTGTTTCGTCTATTTACTACTCGTGAGGTAAAGTGGGGGACGCAACTATTCGCGACTTTCTGAGCTTGGCGAAACTAAAAAATTAGAATGACTTATTTGCGTGGCTTTGTTTTGTTTCAGGGACTCGACCCACTTCAACAGCGCCTGGGTGTCCCGCCTCAAACCTGACTGTGGCGACAACTGGCGACTCAAGGTGAGCTGTGTGTTGTGCTGTGTTGTGTTGTGTTGTGCTGTGCTGTGTTGTGTTGTGCTGTGTTGTGGTGTGTGATGTGTTGTGCTGTCTTGTGCTGTGTGTTGTGGTGTGTGATGTGTTGTGCTGTGTGTTGTGATGTGCTGTGTGTTGTGTTGTGCTGGCACACATGCTGTGTGTTGTGTATTGTGCTGTGTGTTGTACTGTGCTGTGTGTGTTGCTGTGTGTTGTGTATTGTGCTGTGTGTTGTACTCTGCTGTGTGTTTTGCTGTGTGTTGTGTATTGTGCTGTGTGTTGTACTGTGCTGTGCGTTGTTTTGTTTTGCTGTGTTGTGTCGGCACACATGCTGCCTGTTGTGTTATGATGACAAGCCTTCAATAGTATGACCTTGTACTGGCTTCTCATATAACATATAACTCATAACAATTCATGTTAGTATTGACAGCGTTTAAATCATCACTCATGGCACACCAAAGATCAAGCACCCTCTCCATGCAGTTGGGCTAGGGGACTCTGGTATCGCTCAGCTCTGTCGGTCGATTTCAGTCAATATAATGGCCACTCTGGCCGGCATTTCAGTCAATATAATGGCCACTCTGGCCTGCTGGCCGCGGCGTTCACAGCTGCAGTGCAGTAACGCCATTTCTAACCATTACTGTCATCCTAGTAGAAATAATAGTCGTTGTAGCCTTGTTCTTATTCAGAGGCTACACATTTATAGTCCGAGCCTAATTCTTCTTCAGTTGTTATGAAGGGTATTATTGAACACGCAGTATTTCCATGAGATGTTGAGGTTTCTTTTCTAACCTTTAGTTCTTAGCTTCTGTCTGCATCAGATTCTTAGCTATATAGTGTTATTATGCGCTGTTGTGTGGTAATCTGCTCTTGAGCTTTTAATAAGTCAATAGTATATTGATACGGGGAATCCATTGTAATCATAGTTTATTGATGTTTTATTCATGATGCTGGAAACCTTTAGCAAATAATCTGTAATCTTAATGACGAGTGACATCTTTTGTCACACAAAGCTTATGGTGAAGTATTGTGTTGATCTACATAACGTCATGTGAACTGTAGAGTTTGGCCCTCTGAATCTCGCGCATCTTTTTGCTTAGTTATAACTGCGGTTTTTACAATGATGCGTCTTAATCCCTTCATAAATATAGCATTATTATTTCAATAATATCTGTCGATAAGTAGGTAATAAGCCCCTATAATATGGGATAGTATGTGTTACAAGATCTTAAACAATGAAGGTTATTATCAATTCGTAAAATTAGAATTTTTTTGTTCAAGCTATGTAGATTTTATCGTCGTGATTAATTTGTATTTTTAACTATTTAGCTGTCATTCATAATGAAGTTTTGCGAATTTAATTAATGATGTGGAAGTTAATGCACACCTGATTTGCATGTTAGAAGTATTTATATCATAATGCCCCCTAAGTAACGCATCATACCTGCCTGCTATTATTAGCAATGTTCATTATTTACAATATGCATGACGCTATTAGGTATTATGCTTATGCATGTTATGCGTCACATCTTACCAATGATCATTCTCTCTATGCAAGTTATGTAATGAGGTTCACAGGTATAATGGTCTACTTTCAGTTAGTAAGGCGGTAATGCATTAATGCAGACTCAATCGTTCAACGGTTAATCGCAATAATCAGTAAAAAACAATTCGAAACTTATTAATTAGTCGATAGCAGTGTAATTTCCAATGGATGGAGTAGATTTAAATAATAAACAATTCAGTTCAAGGGACTCGGCAGTATGAATGTATAGTAAAGTTATGCCTGCTTCCATAGCACATATATAGCTACGTTACAGCTGTGTGTGCGGACTTTTCCACTGGCTGCAGTTGCGCGTGTGTAGCGGTGCTGTAACGGCCGCTTCTTGTCTACACTTTGTACGCTTCACTAAGACTGTGGAATGTCCAACGCTCTTCACATTCTAATGATATATTTGAATTCTCTTTGTTGAATTCAATTCGCTGATTATACTTGAAAATGACTTCAATGTATCATCACTATTAGTTTTGCTTTTACTAATTTTATTTGTTTACCTACTGCATTACTTACTATATACTGTAATTGTCCATCCATACACACTGTATTGAGTGACGTTCCCTTTACTGTCTCGTTTGTTGTTGTACTTTTGGTTTTCTATCATTTTGTCAGCTGTCAGCGCAGTCATAGCAATGATGAAACTTGTGCTTACTTCACACTCATCTCGTGGCGATGATGAACCTTCTGACTCACTGTCATCACATTTCAATGACGAACCTTCTGACTCACTGTCATCACATAGCAATGATGAACCTTCTGGCTCACTGTCATCACATTTCAATGATGAACCTTCAGACTCACTGTCATCACATTTCAATGATGAACCTACTGGCTCACTGTCATCACATTTCAATGATGAACCTACTGGCTCACTGTCATCACATGGCGATGATCAACCTTTTGACTCACTGTCATCACATTTCAATGATGAACCTCCAGACTCACTGTCATCACATTTCAATGATGAACCTTCTGACTCACTGTCATCACATTTCAATGATGAACCTTCTGACTCACTGTCATCACATTTCAATGACGAACCTTCGGACTCACTGTCATCACATTTCAATGATGAACCTTCGGACTCACTGTCATCACATTTCAATGATGAACCTTTTGACTCACTGTCATCACATTTCGATGATAAACCTCCAGACTCACTCTGATCAGAAAAACATCCAAGCCTGTTATTTTCAATAATTTATCGTTACCACGGCCGGTTGCCGGCGCTGCTTGACTATCTTGCTTATCATCGCTGGCTGATAGCCCATGATTGGACGCTCGCAGCTGCAGAGATGCCGCGCCGCGCCCGCTCTATTGTGTCCCAATTTTCTTCCCAGGATTATGGAGATATAAGCCAAATTATAGCGTTGAGACCGATCAGAATTTATTTTTTTCGTTGAAACTATCAGAATTTATTACTTTTTTTAGTTGAGAACGATCAGAATTTTTTTTGTTGAGAACGATCAGAATTTATTTGTATTTTTCGTTGAGACCGATCAGCATTTATTTTTACTTTTTTTTTCGTTGAGCCCTATCAGAATTTATTTGTATTTTTTTCTTTGAGACCGATCAACATTTTTTTTCGTCGAGAGCGATCAGAATTTATTTGTTTTCCTTCGTTGGATCAGAATTTTGTTTATTTTTTGTATGAAATGATTTGTCTGGATAGTGTCTGTTCTCGCATATTTTTGTGGCAGTACATGATTATGATAGCCGTGCAAGTACCGAAAAAATGTAAAAATATAAATTGGTTCGATTGAAGGCCGGTGTGTGCACTTGTTAAAAATAAATGTAAAGAAATGAAGACAGAAATTGAATTTCCTGTTTTCAAGGTCAGTTTTTTGAATAAATTGCCGAGAATATTATCTTATTCAGCAATAGTTTGTTCATGTAAATATCTCGTTGTTACTTATGTTGCCGACGCCGTAAAAGGACAGGAGAAAAACTGTAGGATTAACTGTTCTCATCCTTCAAGGATTATAATAAAAAATATAACTGAGTACTCACTGCAGTGAGTGACAGAGAGCGCATTTTCTCGTCGACGAAAACGCGAAGTCACGGACGGACGAACAGACGGACATGGCGAGCACAATAGTGCATTTTTTCCACAAATGAGAAAATGCGCTAAAAATACGGGTTTTAGCAGCAACGATGACTGATCGAATGTGAATAGTAGTATCAGTAGTATTATATTTGTCACTCAGAACATTAGCAACATTATTAGGAATGTTACGTCGGTAGTAAATATTTTTTTCATCTTTAATTTCTTTGTAGTTAAGTTATGGTGGCTAATAGAGATAATTGGTGCTGATGTTAATGGTGATGTTCTATATGATGGTTGGCAGGATGAACGAGTTAGGTTGTGTGAGATTAGTGTTATACCTACATGCAGTGACATATAGTGGACAACACTAACCAATACATGGTTAGTGAAATGCATGTTGGTGAGATACCTAGTGAAGTAGTTTAGGGAGGTTTGAAAAGGTTAATGGTGAGTAATAATTGAGGCTTGTGTGATTTAGGAGAGTTTGTGCACAAGTCCATTTATCCGTGCCGAAGTCATGTTCATCACTCATGACTGAAGTCATGTTCATCACTCATGACTGAAGTCACGTTCATCACTCATGACTGAAGTCATGTTCATCACTCATGACTGAAGTCACGTTCATCACTCATGACTGAAGTCACGTTCACCACTCATGACTGAGTGGAGTCGTCACTCACATGTCGGCCGACTTACTTCACGCACCATGACAAGGTTGTCGGAAGTTCCTCAGCTGCTTCTGAACGGTTCCATCAATATGATAAATTACGCTACGATAAGCAACAATCACGATCGTACGCTTCGATACGCCGCAAATGTGAAACTCTACTGAAAAATTGATGCTGGATTTCTCAATTTTCGCCTACTTCTGTTATTTGTAGATTGTTGCTGAGCGTCACCGAAACTGCACGTCGAATTTGTTTTTCTTTTGAGTTCAACGGCGGTTTCGTTTTGTTAAATTACGATTTACAGGGAATTAAGACGTTACCTCGTCTGTGACTTTGCCACCTCAGTGACGTTGCATCTGTTGTAACTATATGATCACATGTGCGATGAGTGACCTGTCATGTTGTACGGTAGAGATACGTCTGAAGCTTGTGATTATTTTTAATTAGAAACATTACGTCGTTCAAATGGTAGTTTTAGTATTTTGTTGATTTATTCATACACGTTATAGCTCACCGTGAATGAATGTTATAAATAACTATAAATACACCTACTAAAAACATCGTTCATGTCGATGTTCTTTCTCCAAGTTTTTTATTTGTGCCCCATTATCACGACTGAGGCATATTGTAGTCACTTTCACCCCCCTAATTTGATCTCCCGACCCTGATGATCGATGTATCCTTCCTTTCTACAGCACCTGCGACAAAT